GACCGAAGGCAGCAAACACACACACACACACTTTATAACATACTCACTATATTATTAACCAAACCTCTGTTTGTTTTTACAATTTGATTGAGGAAAATTATTTTTTGTTTTTTTTTCATGGTTGCGTTATTTTAATGAATTAGGTGGCTCACTGTATGTCTGATGTCTGACTAATCTATGTGGCTTGTGTAAAACCAATCTATCTTTCACCTGCTCTTTTTTTTAATACGTACACCATGCGTCACAACTACAGCTCAAAACGTAGCGTTATCTGCCTCTTATCTGCCCTGTGTTTTCATTGAATATCGTGATCATTTTAACCCAGTCTTGGATTACTCCAAGCAAAAAAATCTTGTAACCAGTACACCTGGTCTGAGATCAACTGAGTGATTTGTGCACCCTCATGTCAGCATGACCAAAGTCTGGGACAAAAAACCTCTTGTAATCTGAGCAGCACAGCAGCTCTTTAGATTTTGAAAAATCTTACTTATCAGAAAAATTCTCATAATTTTGCTGCTAAATACTTGTTTAAATTTCATGTTTGTTTTCTCTCTGCTGTTTTCTGCTGGAAATATCTGATGATCAGCGTTAACTTAAGGTTTACTGCATTATCTTAGTTTATCCTTGTATTTGTTCTTATGTTATATTATAGATTACCAAACTGTGTTTTTTTGACATATTTAGATTGATAATGTAGATAATATAGATAAATGATAATTATGTACTGTAGTCATCAGCATTCTCTTGAAACTAGCCACTTCTATTCATACATGTTTCACTGTTGCAGAGACTTAACTGGTATAATCTTCAGTGGCACTTCATGACAAGTGTTAATGTATGGAAACAGCCGATCTGAGAAAGTGTGTGTGAAGGTGTGTAGGTGTGTGTCAGTATCAGGATCAAAGAATGACACTTTTCCTTTGTTCCAGTCCAGATGAACTCTAATCCTCTGTGGCTTCTTCTCCAAAAGGAGAATGATGGATAATCCTGGTAGTGAGCGTACTGAATATTCACCTTTATAGAACCCTATCCTCCACAATCCAGATGTTGGCTCACCCTTTCTCTTGAGAGAATCTGATGCCACACCCACTCTCCAGTGAGTACTGTCTCCAACCTCAACATCCCAGCTGTGAGTCCCAGAATTAAAGCCCTCAGAGCCCAGGACACAGGGGTAGTTATCAAACCTCTCTGGGTTTTCAGGAAGCTTCTGTCTCTTTCCATGTCTCACACTCGTCAGATCTTCACACAGGATGAGTTCTGGATGAGCAGTGTTTGGATCCAGAATCACAGGAGTGTAGGAGACCATGTCCTTCATCTTGTTCCAGATGTTGAAGGTCAGGTTGCCCAGATGTTTGGCCTCATCTATCAGAGCTCCTGAGACCAGCTGTGGATCATCCAGCAGGGGGCGCTGCTGGACTCTTTCCACTGCAGCCTTGTAGTTCTGCAGGATTGAGATGTCTTCAGCTCTCAGCACCTCCTCTGTGGCTCTGACTGTCTGAAAGAGCTGCTATCTCTCTGCTGAGAGCCTCAATCTTCCCCATCACTATCAGACTTTTCTGCTCCTCTTCCTCCCTCAGAGCAGAGATCCTGTCCTCCTCTTCCTCTTGTAGAAACTGGTGAAGCTTCTTAAACTGCTCCTTAATCAGCCTCTCTGTGTGTCGGGCCTGGACCTTAATGTGTTTTGCTGTTTGGTCACAGTTTCCTTTAACTTGTTCAAACAGCTTCAGTTTCTCCTGTAAGGTCTTCAGGGATTTCTGCAGCTCCTCTTTGTGATCCTTTGCAGCTTCATCGATGGGTCTGAATCTGTGGTTGTTGTGTGTTTTCGAATGCAGACAAACGAGACACACTGGCTGCTGATGGTCCAAACAGAAGAGTTTGAGTTTCTCAGAGTGCAGACTACAGACAGTCTCAGACCCTGCTGAACCTGTCTGATCTCTCTCCAGTAGGAGGGCCTCACACAGGTTTTTTAATACTAAGTTGCAGGGTGGATCGCATTGTGGAGATACTTTCTTACAAACTGGACATTCCTTTATTTGTTTCCCTTTCCACCATTTTTGCAGGCAGTCTTTGCAGAAGCTGTGGCTACATGACAGGAAAACAGGATCTCTAAAGATGTCATGGCAGACAGTGCAGGAGAGCTCTCTGTCAGATTGGAAAGACATTTTTTCCTCTGAGTGAAGCTGAAAACACAGCAGACAGAACAATATAACAGGAGGTTTGGTAAGTTGTAATTCCACTTTCTCCACCCTGTGCTATAAAGTTCCCTCAAACTTACTTTCACTTTGACTTGTGGCTTTAGTAAAGTTGAAATTCAGTGTCTGCAGCAGATAGAAGTGGCAGTCTTTAAGTATTCCAGTAGTCCCATCTTGTAACTGTCGTTTATCATATTAAGGTGAGTCTTTTTTATCTCTCAATATTTTTTATGTTCCTCTCAGAGCGGGAATAGATCTTGTTTCCTGGTTTGCTTGAGTGAGTCAGAGAAGGGGTGGAGCTTTGTCAGACCAGTGGTGTGTTTCATTTTGAAGGTTTTCCCTCTGCTCAGGGACTTTGGTTTTTTAACAACATGAATTCAAACAATATTGGAAATAAAGTCTGCATTTGCATTTTTAGGATCTTCCTTTTTAAAAGGCATAACGTAAAGTAATTTGTGTCTTAGGTGAGAGGCAACACATCAGATATCTTCCTAGTCTGTTATTGAGAGTCTCTTGCTTAGTTCTGGCCCCCAAGAGGATTACTGTGTTCTACAGGCATTTAAATTTACTTGAATCTGATCTGTATTTTAGGCGACCATTTTGGGTGCAAAATAAAAATAAAACATCAAAACAAAGTTGACTGCTCATGTACCACATACATTTATTACATTACGTTGTATTCGTTTAGTTGCCGTGTTTATCTAAAGCGACTTACAATAAGCCATGTGGATACAGCCCCAAAATAGCAAGAATTATCAGAGTACATCAGTTTAATTAAATATGCTGAACTGCTTCAAGTGCTGCATTTAGAAATAATTAGCAATAGAGAAAGTGTTGTTATTTTTTTACTCTTTTTTGTTGTTGTATTTATAGGCCAAGGTGCAGTCACAGCAGATGAGTTTTCAGACTGTGATGGAAGATGTTCCAACATTGTTGAGCCAGCACAGAAAATAGCTGGTTTTTTTTTTTGTTTTTTTTTTTCTTTTAAAGAGAGCAACTAAGACCTCTTACAAAAAATCATAAATGACCCAGCTCCAGGCAGGGCCTTTATTTGAACAGGCTAGTATAAAAAAAACAATGCGTATCCCGCATGGAGCAGCCACCAGGAGCCAGTACAAGGTGCAGAGGAGTGTTGTAGTGTGGGAGAACCTTAGTAGGCTAAAGATCAGCTGGGCTGCTGCATTCTGGGTAAGCTGTAGAGGGTCGGATGGTGTATCCATTTCCTGTAAAAGATAAATTATCTGCAGCAAGTTTCAAATCTAAGTTCAATTTGATAGTGTACTGAAATGAACTGAAACTAAAAGCTGCCTGAAAGAACAGAGTCATTCTACAAATATATGATGTGATTTTTAAAATTGTTTATAGTCACATAGACTATATGATTTGTAGTTGATCTGCTAAAACAAGCCAAACTAGAGTTATGGTCCTCACAATAATATAACACAACCTCCTCTTTGCAGTTGTAAGTTTCAGCGTTATGTTTTGGTTTTGCTTTTGTACGTTTTAAACGCAATAAAGACTACAGTGCTAAAAAAAAAAAAAAAAAAAAAAGGAAAGAGAAAGAAACAGAAACAATAAATCAGTTTCATAATTTCCAGGGATATCAGTTGTTGGAAATATCCAGAAAGTTCGAGCTGTGTGATTAAAGACTGAGGGAATACAGGGGATTTTTCAGAAGGAGGCGTGTAATGACACTCTTGTGTGTGGTTTCTTTATTTTACACATCGAGACCAATTTTTTTTGAGAAGCAGACTGTTCACCACAGTACATAAGTCAGTATATGTTATATATGAAAATGAACTGAAAGTGAAACTTATCTTTACTCTCTTTGAAGCCAGACTGATACTGAGGTTTTTAAGCAAAAATGCATGTTTGGAGGCACTGAGAATATGACTGGATAAGTGAGACTTAGATTATACTGCATGAGTTGTGTGAGAGTTCGTAAACACATGTTTTGATATAGTTTTGCTTTTAGAAATGGTCCCTAATCAATCAATATGTTTGCTGTTTTCTGTGAAGGCATGAAAGGAAACAAAGTTTTCTTCCTGAATCCAAACCAGCACAGCATGACTAATATACACAAATGATCATTTTGTGGGTGAAGTATTCCTTTAAGGAGAGTGTGTAAATAGTGTTAAGGAGTAGCACAGTCATATAGTTTGTGTCATAAATCACACAGAAAACTGCAATTAAAAACGTATTTATTTTGGCACACAAAAGTAAAATGCACTTCTATGTAATACAGGTGGTTAGTGTAGATGAAGATAATGTACAATACAGCCAAAGTAACGTAATGTCCAAACTTTCCAGTTTTTACAACCACAATAAATGTGACAGACTATGAATATGAACACTGTTTACACTGGGCCAAGCCAGCCATGAGTATAATTTCAGCAACATTTTCATACATCAACAACAAGAAATCTTGTACATGACACCTCACCTCAAAGTATTTCTAATGAAAAGCCAATAATTAGAATTACTTTTGTTTTTGGCAGTAAATATCAGTATGTCTTATTACTTCGAATTACTTATATAGTTACAGAGCCATTTGTGAGTCAGACTATTAAAGCCATAATATTATTGTTTCATAAACCAATTGGATAATTTTAATAGCAAACCTTAAGTAATCTCTGACTTTCAGAGATCACAAGATTTGATCTTTCGTCATGTCATATTACAGATTACAAAAATGTGTTTTTCTATATGCCTAGATGGATAATGTAGATAATATAGATCAGTGATAATCATGTACTTTACGTAGTCATCAGAATCATCTCTAAATTAGCCACTTATATTGATAGCAAATCTGTTAGATTGTTACAGAGACGGGACTGGTATTATCTTTAGTGGCACATCATTCCAAGTGTTAATGTATGGAAACAGCCGATCTGAGAAAGTGTGTGTGAAGGTGTGTAGGTGTGTGTTATTATCAGGATCAAAGAATGACACTTTTCTTTCGTTCCAGTCCAGATGAACTCTAATCCTCTGTGGCTTCTTCTCCAAAAGGAGAATGATGGATAATCCTGGTAGTGAGCGTACTGAGTATTCACCTTTATAGAACCCTATTCTCCAGAATTCAGAGTTTTTATTTCCCTTCCTTTTGAGAGACTCTGCTGCCACACCCACTCTCCAGTGAGTATTGTCTCCAACCTCAACGTCCCAGCTATGAGTTCCTGAGTTAAAACTCACAGAGCCCAGAATAGAGTGAAGGGAATCAAACCTCTCTGGATTGTCAGGAAGCTGCTGTTTTTCTCCACATCTCACACTGGTCAGATCTTCAGACAGGATGAGTTCTGGATGAGCAGTGTTTGGATCCAGAATCACAGGAGTGTAGGAGACCATGTCCTTCATCTTGTTCCAGATGTTGAAGGTCAGGTTGCCCAGATGTTTGGCCTTTTCTATCAGAGCTCCTGAGTTCAGCTGTGGATCATCCAGCAGGGGGCGCTGCTGGACTCTGTCCACTGCAGCCTTGTAGTTCTGCAGGAATGAGATGTCTTCAGCTCTCAGCTCCTCCTCTGTGGCTCTGATTGTGTCTGAAAGAGCTGCTATCTCTCTGCACAGAGCCTCAATCTTCTCCTTCATCACCTGACTCTTCTGCCCCTCTTCATCCCTCAGAGCAGAGATCCTGGCCTCCTCTTCCTCTTGTAGAAACTGGTGAAGCTTCTTAAACTGCTTCTTAATCAGCCTCTCTGTGTGTCGGGCCTGGACCTTAATGTGTTCTGTTGTTTGTTCACAGTTTCCTTTAACTTGTTCAAACAGCTTCAGCTTCTCCTGTAAGGTCTTCAGGGATTTCTGCAGCTCCTCTTTGTGATCCTTTGCAGCTTCATTGATGGGTCTAAGTCTGTGGTTGTTGTGCATTTTGGATTCTTGACAAACAACACACACTGGCTGCTGATGGTCCAGACAGAAGAGTTTGAGCTTCTCAGAGTGCAGACTGCAGATAGTCCCTGAATCTCTCTGATTTCTCTCCAGTAAAAATGCCTCACACAGGTTCTTCAGTACCAAACTAACAGGTGGTTCAATCTGTAAGGATATTTGCTCACAAATTGGACACTTGCGTGTTTGCTTTGTTCTCCACCAGTTCTTCAGACAGTCTTTACAGAAGCTGTGGCTACACGACAGAACGACAGGTTCTTTAAAAATGTCAAGGCAAATAGAACAGGATAGATCTTTTTCTGATTGGTGAGCCATTTTCTCTCTTTGTGAGCTGTAAACACCAACACATAAAACACAGTCAGACAGCTGTGGCTCCTTTCCTTCCTCTGCACAAACTTACTTTCACTTTGAGTGGTAACTCAGTTTGTCAGTAGTAGGTCAAAGTATCTGCCTTTGCGTATTCCAGTGTTTCTTCCTGTAAGTGTCCTCTTTTAATGTAAGCCAGTCCATTTTTTTAGTGTGGTGATAAATCTTATTCTGTCTGTCTCTTAGCGTGTGTAGACCAGTGTACTCTGTTTCCGGTTTTTGTTGAGTGAACCCGCCAACATGAGTCAGTCTATGCAAACTGGCTAAACCAGCATTTGTCATGACATGTTCCGTCAAATTAGCCTGCATCAACAACTTGTGCTGACGACAGATGTCACAGTGCTAAATTCATGTTGCATTGGTAATAAGCAATATGACAACTGTGATTAGTTAAATATTCTGTTAATATGCAGATTAACGAAGTCACAAGTGTCAGACAGGCTTGTGCAATTTACTGCCAAGCCCAGGTAGGTGTGGGCAACATGAAGGAGGTCAAATTTCAATAGAGGTGGGAGGGGGAGAACTGTACATGTGGTGTTTGTTTACTTCAAAGCTCTTGAGAAGATGATGAAAGAGGTGTCCGTACTGGCTCTAAGCATCATTTTGGGCTGAACTTTACCAGACGCAGTGTGTCTGTTGAATCAGAACGTAGCCTGACTTTGACCCCTCCTCCCTCCCTCTCTCTCCTTTCCCCTCTTGCCCCCTCTTTAGCGGATAGCATTGGCCACGGTGCTTGTTGGCTAAAGCACTATACAGTATTTTTTTTATAGTAATGTCCAAAATGCGAGGGGGCATAATGACATTTAAGTGCCGCAGCATGTGCACAGAACCGTCACTTTTCCAGACATCCTCCAAAGAAACAAGGCTAGAAGTTGCAAATGATAGAAATAGCAATTGCTTGTTTATCAGTTAAAAAGACTAACACTTTGCCTGGCTGTGGTCACATCCATGAGGCCAGTTGCATAAAGGAAATTTAAACAATTTAACCTGACTATCAGAAGTGACTGCAAGGCTTTGACTGATCAGGTTCACTGAGGGCTAGCTTTCTGTATCTCATTGTTTTTTGTTTGTTTTTTAATGAGATTTCATCTCAGTTTGAGTCTAAAAGGTACTTTACTTGTTGCAGTAGATAAAGCTGTGAAAACATATTTAGACTATCATTAATTAACATTACAACTCTTAAATACACCTGCAGCTCACTGATGTATTGAAACTCAACTATGAGCTGTGTCCAATTGGAAAAAAAAAGTGTGATTTGGGGAGGACACATCACATATCTGCTAGTCTTCTGCTGGGCTTAGGCCACCAAGAGTACTACTGTGTTCTCAAGGTATATTAGTCGACTTGAATCTTATCTGTATTTGAAGCCACCATTGTGGGTGTAAAATACAAAACATCCACATATACTACATAAATAAATTTCTCACATTACATTGTATTTGTATAACTGCCGTGTTTATCTAAAGACTTACAATAAGCCATGTGGGTACAGCCCAAAAATAGCAAGAATTATCAGAGTACATCAGTTTAATTAAATATGCTGAACTGCTTCAAGTGCTGCATTCAGAAACAATTAGCACTACATAAAGTGTTTTATTTTTGTTTTTTAATGTTGTTGTTGTTGTTGTTGTTGTTGTAGTTGTATGGGCCAAGGTGCAGTCTGAGCAGATGAGTTTTCAGTTTGTGATGGAAGATGTTCATACATTGTTGAGCCAGCACAGAAAACAGTTGTGATTTAAAAAAAAAAAAAGGAAAGAAAAAAAAAGAGGCATAGAGGAAGACCTCTTGCAAAAAAGACATAAATGATAACGCTCCAGGCACTCAAGATGGTTCAAAAATATGAAAGACCTTTATTTCAACAAGCTAGAGACGTTAAAAATACACCAATGTGTGGATCAGCCACCAGGAGCCAGTACAAGATGCAAGGGAGTATTGTAGTGTGGAAGAACCTGAGAAGGTTAAAGACAAGCTGTGTTGCTGCATTCTGGGTGAGTTGTAGAGGTTGGATGGCACATGCAGGCACGTCTGCCAGGAGCAAGTTGCAGTAGGTCAGGTGCGGTGCTCAGCCCTGTAGTTGTTAGTTAAGTCTGATTGTGTATGTCAGGGGGTGGCTTCAGCTGAAGTGTGTGCCCTTAAAAATGTAATTGCATGTCAAAGCTGCAGCTGCTACAGAGATACCATGAGATGACAAGAGGTGATATTTGTAAGCTTGGCCTGCTTGTGTTTTCTCCTACAGGTTTCTAATGCTGATGGAGATAATGTTAAGGGAGTTGAAGAAAGATTCAGTTATCTATCAAACGTTTTAGTAACGCTCATTTAACAAAGACATCTGCAACGAAAACATTCTGCAGTGACTCACCATCTGTATACCACAATGTGTACATGTTTGATCATGCCCTGTAAAGGAACTCCCAGTCTCTGCAGCAAGAAATGTTTTTCCACATTACTACTCAAAGTCATAGCACACCATTCTTTATATATCCTGCCATCGTTGTATTTTTTTAGCATCGTAATATGTGAGGAAGAGAGCCAACATAATAACTTGCATAAAAAAAAAGCAGAGTACTTCTTCCCATTGATGCAATAAACCTGTAAATCCAACATTGCCCTAAACAGCCTGCACCCAGTGTTGCTCCCAGTGGCCCAATAAAACCAGACATATTAATAAGATACCTTGGTAATCAGTCAACAGAAATGACTGCTGACAAATTTTATGTCAAGGTACATATTGTCTTACTGCCCAACCCTATCATAGAAATCTTTAACTGTGCTTTTCCACCGTCACAGAGACCGTCACTGGTAAAATCTTCAGTGGTAGGTGGTTCTCAGTGTAAATGTACGGAAACAGGGTGTCAGTGAAGGTGTGTGTGAAGGTGTGTATGTGTGTGTTAGTATCAAGATCAGAGAATGACAGTTTTCCTTTCTCAAAGTCCAGATAAACTCTGACCCTCTGGAGCTTCTTTTTCAGTGGCAGATCTTTTTCTTGATCTAGTGAGGAGAACGCTGTGAGTTTTCCATCGGAGAACAAAATTCTCCACAGTCCAGACTGTAGGCGTCCCTTCATCTGGATGTATTCTGCCAACATGCCCAGTTCCCAGTCCTTGTTGTCCCCAACCTCAACGTCCCAACTGTGAGTCCCGGAGTTAAATCCTTCAGAGCCGAGGATGGAGCAGGTGAATTTGGTCCTTTCCGGGTTTTTTGGAAGCTGTCGTCGTTCTCCAGATCTCACATTGGTCAGATCTTCAGAGACGAGAAGTTCTGGGTCCGCTGTGTTTGGATCCAGAATCACAGGTGTGTAGGAGACCATCTCCCTCATCTTGTTCCAGATGTTGAAGGTCAGGTTGCCCAGATGTTTGGCCTCATCTATCAGAGCTCCTGAGGGCAGCTGTGGATCATCTAGCAGAGGGCGCTGCTGGACTCTGTCCACTGCAGCCTTGTAGTTCTGCAGGAATGAGACGTCTTCAGCTCTCAGCTCCTCCTCTGTGGCTCTGATTGTGTCTGAAAGAGCTGCTATCTCTCTGCTCAGAGCCTCAATCTTCTCCTTCATCATGTGACTCTTCTGCTCCACTTCCTCCCTCAGAGCAGAGATCCTGGCCTCCTCTTCCTCTTGTAGAAACTGGTGAAGCTTCTTAAACTGCTCCTTAATCAGCCTCACTGTGTCTAGGGCCTGGACCTTAATGTGTTCTGTCGTTTGATCACAGTTTCCTTTAACTTGTTCAAACAGCTTCAGTTTCTCCTGTAAGGTCTTCAGGGATTTCTGTAGCTTCTCTTTGTGATCCTGTGCAGCTTCATCGATGGGTCTGAATCTGTGGTTGTTGTGCATTTTGGATTCTTGACAAACAACACACACTGGCTGCTGATGGTCCAGACAGAAGAGTTTGAGCTTCTCTGAGTGCAGACTGCAGAGAGTCTCTAACCCTCTCTGATTTCTCTCCAGTAAAAACACCTCACACAGGTTCTTCAGTACCAAACTAACAGGTGGTTCACTCTGTAAAGATATTTGCTCACAAATTGGACACTCGCGTGTTTGCTTCGTTCTCCACCAGTTCTTCAGACAGTCTTTACAGAAGTTGTGGCTACACGACAGAATGACAGGTTCTTTAAAAATGTCAAGGCAAATAGAACAGGAGAGATTTTTTTCTGATTGGTGAGCCATTTTCTCGCTTTGTGAGCTGTAAACACCAACACATAAAACACAGTCAGACAGCTGTGGCTCCTTTCCTTCCTCTGCAAAGTTCTCTAAACTTACTTTCACTTTGAGTGGTGACTCCGTTTGTCAGTAGCAGGTCAAAGTATCTGCCTTTGAGTATTCTCTTAGCGCGTGTCTCCTCTCAGTAGACCAGTGTACTCTGTTTCCGGTTTTTGTTGAGTGAGCCCGACAACATGAGTCAGTCTATGCAAACTGGCTAAACTAGCATTTGTCATGACACGTTCCGGCAAATTAGCCTACATCAGCAACTTGTGCTGATGACGTCACAGTGCTAAATACAAATTGTATTGCATTGGTAATAAGCAATATGACACCTGTGATTAGTTAGATATTCAGTTTATAAACAGGCTATTGAAGCCACATGCGTGTGCAATTTACTGCCAAGCCCAGGTCGGTGTGGGCAACATGAAGGTGGTCAAATTTAAATAGAGGTGGGAGGGGGGAGAGCTGTACATGTGTTTGTTTACTTCAAAGTTCATGAGAAGATGATGAAAGGGCATCAGGCACTTTGCTCTTGTTAGTTTCAGAAGAAACTTTGGCCTGGGAAGTCCCGCTAAAGTGCTGGGACCAGATGCATTACACTTTTTACATTCATAGACAGGGCTCTGTTTTGTACATCTCAATCATAATGAAATTATGGGAGTTCCACTCCTGCAGTTAGCATAGCCCCATCTGTGACTTCAGCACTCAAAAACGTTGCTCCAATACCATTCTCCCACCTTAGGGATAAAATCCAAATGTCATTCTTCTTACCTGTTATTCATCAGCAGGTTGTAACTTCCATGCTATGTTTGTGTTTCCACAGATGTTCACTTTTTTCCCCAAGTGCTGAACTGTTTGCCAGGGGTGGAACCAACATTTAAATACAGCATTCCCACAGACTGCAGCTCTGCTCCTCCACTGACTGCAGCAGCCATTCCACCCAGGGGCTGTGACAGGTACAGTTATATCCAATAAAATTTTACTTTATTATCCTATCAGGGAAATGTATTGGTGAATTATTTTAGTCATCTAGATAGAATACACAGAGGCAATATGTGGCAGTATGTGGAAATGTTGGTCTTAAACTTTGGTCTTCCCTTGGGCAAAGGTTTTATTATTAGTAAACCTATGTGAGACCTAAGAAATACTTTTGAAGATACAATGCGCTGCTCAATGAGAAAACACATTCACTTTTACACTGCGATTTGTGTAAAAAATCCTGTGTGACTGAATCAGAGTAACATGAAATGCTAAGGGCACAAATGAGGTTGCAGTTTAGCAATAAATGGATGTAGACATCTCTGTAGTCATGTGTAGCATGCATCATTTTCCTGGCCCCTGATCAGGGGTATTATATTTTTATTTTAGGGAAGAAATCTACTGGCAGATTTTTACTTAAGTTAAAGTAAAGTTTGTAGAGTGTGATTTCAACACAGTCACTGACAGAAATGAGGTTTAAGAAAATAAAGACTGAAGTCAATCTTCTTAATTCCAGTTAAGTTTAATTATCAAATGTACATCGTCTCAGGGTTTAGTTTCACATGAAAACACCCATTCCCTAATACAAAATGAGAAGTTTTTTCCCCCCATACAAAAATCCTCTCCTCCCTTAAGTATCAAAAGAAGCAGTGATTAGGCAACAACATCCAGGTAAGACGTAAAGACAGATCTGATTTTTAATCGTAATATTGTAGTATTAATGCAGTGAAAGACTTTTCAAAGTACAGTCAAACACATACACTGGTAGAGAGGTGCTGAGGATGATAGACTTTGATTAATATCAATATCAAATCTGAACCCTCGTCATCCAGCATCTACAAGACTCTCATTTCTACTCTGTTCAAGCAGACGTGAAGTACATCAGAACTGAGCCACAAAGTTAAGTCAGATCTGTTCGTGTGAAAAAAATACAGCTGAAGGAATAACAGAAACAGCAATGAACCCAAACCTCTAGCACATAATTAAGTAGTCTGTTGTACAGTGCAGGGAACAGTAGTGGGAAGGCAGCTTTAACAGACATTGATTCGTTATGGCAACATTTAGTACTCAAGGGATTCTAGAATGTAGAAATCAACAATAAACATCAGTAGTCACGAACAGTTTGACACTTCCTGTCGGAGCGAGTGCGGCCCATCCACACTTTGAAGAAACCTCATACTGCCAATTTAACCAAACAAAGAGTTCCAGTTTTCTTCTTTCAATTGAGATGTTAAAGGGATAGTTCTGATTTTCTGAAGTGTGGTTCTATGACGTACTTATCCATAGTCAGTGTATTACCTACTGTAGATGTCTGACCCCAGTTTGGAGATGCAGGCAGGAGTGCCACAATGGAGGCTTAGCAATGTATTGCCATGGATGCCACCTAAAAAAATATTCAATATCTGTCCAAGTGTATGCTATATTGAGAATATTGTCGCCGCTTTACCTTTCCTTCCGACAGCCCTTTCTGATGAGTAACTAAAACCTTTAACTCTCCTCTTTTCAAAGCCACCAGACCCCATTGACAAAAATACTTTAACTCACAGAACACAGGAGCTGTTGGTCTACCACTTTTGTGATTGGTTACACTTTTTTGTGTTACTGTGTGACTTTTGTGAATCCAAACTAACCCTTTAAAATACAGAAGTCACACAGTAACAAAAACAAACTACCAATCAAGGCGGCAGTAGATCAGCAGCTTCTGTGTTCTGAGAGGTAAAAGTACTGTTTTGGTCAAAGGAGTCTGGTGGCTTTGAAGAGAGCGATGTAACGGTTTCAGTTCCTCGTTCGAAAGGGCTGTCTAACGTTAAGGTAAAGCAATGAAAACACTGTAAATATAGCATACACTTAAACTGACTTTTTTTTGTAGGTGGCAAAAATATGTTTTGCTGAGCTTCCGTGGTGGTACTCCTACGTGCTTCTTCAAACTGGGGGCGTGCTGACCACCATCTACTGTAAGTTATACACTCAGTATGGATAGGTGCCTCAGTCCAAATCTAGTTTTGGAAACAGAGACGCAGGTACACTGAGCTGTTGTGTTGTGACATTCTCACCAACTAAATGTCAAGCAATCATTAATTTACTGGTCAAGTATAAAAACTATCGTCAAGTGCAAAATTTGTCAATTGGCAATTCCAGGGCAGCAAAAATCAACTGAGATCCCTCTTTCCCAATCAAATTAATTCTGCCTGTTTTCTTTACAGCTCCAGTTTTAGGTCAGATTATGGTATCTTTTACTATTTTGCGTCCCTGATTCACTGCAGAAAGTGTGTCCAACTAACAGAGTACAGAGTCTCCATTCATGGAAGTGTTCATTTTCTCTTCCCTTAAAAATTTCAGTTTTTTTGTTAGTGTTATAATTTTCTGAAACTTTTTTTCCCCCTTTTTAAGGGCAGTTTGGCAAATCGAAAAACAAATTAATCAATTCTCTCAGGGCTGAAAATCCTTTTTACTCGTGATTTAAACTGAACACATCTGAAAGCAAAATGTACACACAGAACTTTTAGATGCAACTTATTTACTGGACAATCATTTACAGTGTAACTTATGTGTCCATCTCTAACAGGGATGCAAAATGGTGCAGTAGGAATGACGGCAGGTTTCTTGGTGTCTCATGGGACGGTGACGTGGAAGGGGGAGCCCGGGATGTGGTCATCGCCCCACTTAACCACCAGGATGTAGTTGCCCCGCTCCCTCAGCATGTAGCTGACGTTGTACTGCAGATTGCCCAAGTGTTTGACCAGAACCTCCTCACAGGGGACCTGAGGACCGTGCACACCCACCAGGAGCATGTTCTTACCTGGGAAGTTGAAAGGAAGACGTGAGTGAAGTATCAAAACATCAATTTATTTCAAAGTGATGACAGATGAAAGAAAAACAATCTGTCATAACTATTAAAATATAATATTACTCAACAACTTAATTGTTGAGATCTGAGGATGCATGGACATCACAAGACTGATTTACATTTGTGTATTTGCATCATTTTACAACAGAGTCTGCGTTTGTGTCTTGTGATCACCTGACCAATCATGTTGCTGCCCTAATGGATTCTATTTGTTTATAAACTGAAGGCAAATCATTCCCTCTCCACAAACAAACATGTCATGAGTCACGCATGCACAATTTATCATTACAGGTCAACAGTTAAAGCATGTTGTGGGTGGAGTTTTCCTTACCAGCTTTGCTGCAGTCGACAGAGAAGTTGCTCCTCTGGCCCACAAAGGCCTTACTGAGGCCGGGGCCTCGGCTCTGCACCTTGCTGGCATCAGAGTCACCCAGCCAGGGCATGGAGCTTTGGACGAAACTGCCGCTGGACGCTCTTACTGCTGGATCCACAGTCAGGGTTGACGTCTCACTGGCGTTGGTCACATTCACCAGCCGAGGACCTAAGAGAGGAAAAAGAGTCAGGTATGATTACTTTTGATAAAACTTATTGTGGAAGCTTGAAAAACTTTTTCAAAATGTTTTGGAGAGCAAACAAAACAAAAAGGTAAAAGTTGCTCCTCAAAAACAGGACGAGCTACTGCCCTCCTGCATTTTCCAGAATGCCAACTGACAAGCCACAGTGAACCTACCACACTTAATTGCATCTAGGCTGTTTTTTTTGTTTGTTTGTTTGTTTTTCTCAGTACCTGGAGAACAAACAAGGACACCAAAGGGGACTTTAATCTGGTAGATCATTGAGGGTTTTTTGACGCAAATTTGGTATTATACTAAATGGTAACATTTACAATTTACATTTGAGAAAAGTTAAACACTGGTTCTAGATAGGGCCATCTGCATTGTTGCATTGGCCACTGTTGTTAGAAGCCCCTCCGCAATGAGCAGCATTGGAAAAATGCTGTTTTTTTTTTTTTTTGTTTGTTTTGTTTTTTCAATAATGTGAAATTGCTTATTCAGTGTTTTTATCGGTTTACATCACAGGGTCTTTTTGTTTTGTAGAGGAAGAGGCCTCTGCTGATAATTCAGCTCCCAGTAAAAACCTCCTGAACAATTAACACTGGAGGAATTCTAACCAGGAGAAACTTCAGTTGATTTCCAGCTGCAATCCTCACTGCTAGATGCCACTACATCCCCCTAAATCTTACACACTGGACCTTTAAAGTCACTCAATTTATTTTTGTATTTTAGCCAGATTAGATATTTTTCTGTTTTTAAAATGCATTGGAGTGAGTATAAATATTTTATGATTAAGTAGCTAACCATGGTAAAGAAAAATGCACCAAACAACTAAACATACATAAATCACTAACAGCTGTTTTGTTGTTAAAGTGGCAGAGTACAGGAAAGTTTAACAAAGAGATGTTCATCACTTTACCTGTGACTTTGGCCTTGAATGGACTGCCATTAATGTGGTTCGGTCCTCCATATTTGATGCTGATCATATAGTTTCCAGGTGCCATGGGAGTGTACTGCACCTTGTAGCCCTCTGGAACCTCCTTGCAGTCCATCTTTACCTTGGACGGACCCTCGATGGTCACAGCCAGGGTGCCGGGGCCCGCCTTAGTGTTATTAATGATGAACTCTGACTGGCTACCTGCAGGATTTAAAGGGAAAAAACAGCAGTGTTTGTCACAGTGTTATCCTTTTGTTAAACACAAAAAAAATTGACAAATGTATAATTTTGGCCTTTAATTAAAGTATTCTTATTGTGTTATTGTTATTCTTATTATTAACAGACAGACAGGTGACCCACCTGTTGTGCCTCTCTCCAATCCAGCTCCATACGCTGAGACCAGACCGGGCTCTCCTGTCTGTCCTGGTTCCCCAACTCGGACCTGGAAAGGACTTCCTGGAATGTGAGAGCCGTTAAACTTGACGTCGATGTTGTGTACACCATTCTCCCTGGGGATGAACCGGATAGCGTACTTGTCTAGAGAAGAGGACAGGGGGATTTAGTTACCAGCAGCCCCAATATCTGACTTCTTTAGACCTCTATAAGTCATTAAATGTTGCCCTGGAAACACATAAAAACACACAGAGACCTCTTTCCAGCTCAGTGACGACACACTCCTCCAGAGCTCCAGAGGGGCTGTGAACTTTGGCCTCCAGCTTGCCCTGTGCTCCGTTTGTACACACTGCAAAGGATGCTGGGTGATTCACCTTCAGACCAGACTCCTACCAAGGTCGGACACACACAGTGTGCAGGGATGGACAGATGAACAGGGAAGACATTAAGGTAACACTTCAAAACACACACACACACACACACACACACACATATCCAGCGGCATACTCACTTTTCAGTAGCGGAGTAAAGTACTACAAACAAAATAATGTTTTCACTCCATGTATTCTATTGACTGTCTTCTAGTCTTACCTGAGCTCCTGTTGGTATGGCTTAAGCAGACAGAGGCAGACGGCCACAGTATTAAAAAGTAGAGTTACACACATTGACACTGCAGTGTTACAGTACAGTCTTTAAAATGTTGTAAACATTATCAGATTTACTGAGTACTTCCTTGGAGTAAAAAAAAAAAAAAAATCTCATTTTAAATTTGTTAAGAACTGCGGCTAAGATATGCACTGAGTGGGACATTTTATAGTGTTACTCATTAGTGCTCTCTGGTGGACAAACTACAGTACAGGCCAAAAGTTTGGACACACCTTCTCATTCAATGCGTTTTCTTTATTTTCACGACTATTTACATTGTAGATTCTCACTGAAGGCATCAAAACTATGAATGAACACATGTGGAGTTATGTACTTAACAAAAAAAGGTGAAATAACTGAAAACATGTTTTATATTCTAGTTTCTTCAAAATAGCCACCCTTTGCTCTGATTACTGCTTTGCACACTCTTGGCATTCTCTCCATGAGCTTCAAGAGGTAGTCACCTGAAATGGTTTCCACTTCACAGGTGTGCCTTATCAGGGTTAATTAGTGGAATTTCTTGCTTTATCAATGGGGTTGGGACCATCAGTTGTGTTGTGCAGAAGTCAGGTTAATACACAGCCGACAGCCCTATTGGACAACTGTTAAAATTCATATTATGGCAAGAACCAATCAGCTAACTAAAGAAAAACGAGTGGCCATCATTACTTTAAGAAATGAAGGTCAGTCAGTCCGGAAAATTGCAAAAACTTTAAATGTGTCCCCAAGTGGAGTCGCAAAAACCATCAAGCGCTACAACGAAACTGGCACACATGAGGACCGACCCAGGAAAGGAAGACCAAGAGTCACCTCTGCTTCTGAGGATAAGTTCATCCGAGTCACCAGCCTCAGAAATCGCAAGTTAACAGCAGCTCAGATCAGAGACCAGATGAATGCCACACAGAGTTCTAGCAGCAGACCCATCTCTAGAACAACTGTTAAGAGGAGACTGCGCCAATCAGGCCTTCATGGTCAAATAGCTGCTAGGAAACCACTGCTAAGGAGAGGCAACAAGCAGAAGAGATTTGTTTGGGCCAAGAAACACAAGGAATGGACATTAGACCAGTGGAAATCTGTGCTTTGGTCTGATGAGTCCAAATTTGAGATCTTTGGTTCCAACCGCCGTGTCTTTGTGAGACGCAGAAAAGGTGAACGGATGGATTCCACATGCCTGGTTCCCACTGTGAAGCATGGAGGAGGAGGTGTGATGGTGTGGGGGTGTTTTGCTGGTGACACTGTTGGGGATTTATTCAAAATTGAAGGCACACTGAACCAGCATGGCTACCACAGCATCCTGCAGCGACATGCCATCCCATCCGGTTTGCGTTTAGTTGGACGATCATTTATTTTTCAACAGGACAATGACCCCAAACACACCTCCAGGCTGTGTAAGGGCTATTTGACCAAGAAGGAGAGTGATGGAGTGCTGCGGCAGATGACCTGGCCTCCACAGTCACCGGACCTGAACCCAATCGAGATGGTTTGGGGTGAGCTGGACCGCAGAGTGAAGGCAAAGGGGCCAACAAGTGCTAAACACCTCTGGGAACTCCTTCAAGACTGTTGGAAAACCATTTCAGGTGACTACCTCTTGAAGCTCATGGAGAGAATGCCAAGAGTGTGCAAAGCAGTAATCAGAGCAAAGGGTGGCTATTTTGAAGAAACTAGAATATAAAACATGTTTTCAGTTATTTCACCTTTTTTTGTTAAGTACATAACTCCACATGTGTTCATTCATAGTTTTGATGCCTTCAGTGAGAATCTACAATGTAAATAGTCATGAAAATAAAGAAAACGCATTGAATGAGAAGGTGTGTCCAAACTTTTGGCCTGTACTGTATGTAACAGGGACACTTTTTAAATGACCTCAAACTTTTCTTTGGCATTTCTGTCCGGACATCTTTTTACCTACAAGCGGACGTATATGCCTTTGCTGATACTACAGTGATGAGCTAAGTTTGACCAATTGGCTCTAATTGATGCATTTCATAAACACATTAACTGGCTGGACAAAACTTATGGAAACTTGTGTCACAGTTTGGGTATCGTTTGAAATCTCTCTGTGGTAGTGCCCACATCAAAACAGTAGTTTAATTCCACACCTTACCGTTACTAACTGTTATTATTATTACATTTTCAAATCAAATTTTACATGCACTACTATGTATACTAATGCTGGACAAATCAAAGTACCTCACTGTGTTGACTGTTGACTGTACTATACGACTCAGATTTACCTAACACATGAGTGTTACAGACTGAGCAGAGATTTGTATACAGCTACAGACAAACACACTAGTCTCTAAAAGTACAGCAGGAGTTCGCTGTGGCCTGCCTCTGTCTGCCATAGCTAAGCAACCAGGGAGCTGATGATGATGCTGTTAAAAGCCTTTAAATGAAACACAAGAGAAACACCAGCAGTTCCACACCAGACAGTAGAGGGATGACCAGAGCCAGGCAAAACGTTCCAGAGAGGGAAGATTTCCTGATATACATTTGAGGATAAATCCTAATGTCCGCCAGTATCACTATCACAACAAAACTTGAATAGTATCTAAACTCATCAGTTTGTGTCAAGGAAATCTGTCCAAAATGAAAACAGTTTATTTAAGAGCCGAAACATTAATCTAGTAGTTGACTTTCGTGATCTGCAGCAACTATAATAATTAATTAATTGTTCACTTATCAAGCAAAAATGCTGATCACTCTTTGGTTCTCCTTCTCAAATGTGAGGATTTTTTGCCTTTTTTTATTCTACACGATTGTTAATTGATTATCTTTTGGTTTGAAGTTGGTTGGACAATGAAAATTGAAGATATAACTTTAGGCATTTTTTCACTGTTTTCTGACAGATAATATAAAGAATGGCACAATCCATTAGTTGATTATGAAAATAACCGCTAGTTAGAACACTGGTTAATACTTATGAATGTGTCCAAAAAGGATGAACCATTTCCAATTTGACACTCTGAGGATTCCTTCAGTTCCTCTCTTGGGCCAACATGTCAACTTGACACAGAAACTGAGTTTGCTTGGCTGTGGTCACATCCATGAGGCCAGTTGCATAAAGAAAACTTCAACAATTTAACCTGACAATGAGAACAACTGCAAAGGTTTGACTGATCAGGGCCATTTAAGGCTAGCTTTAGAGAAACTCATCTCAGTGTTGAGTCTCCAAAGTACTTTGTTTTTGTTGCAGTGCAAAAAGTTCTAAAAACACGTTTAGACCATCATTAATTCACATTACAACTCTTGAAAAGACACCTCCTGCAGCTCTCTGATGTATTAAAACTGTGAGCTGTGTTGAGTTTTAAAACATGAGTGGGATTTTGGGGGCTTAAATCAGCAAGTTGGATCTTTAATGTAGAAATCCTGTTCAGCATTATTTCAAAGCAGCCATTAAAAACTTGTTACTGCTACAGTGATCACTCGCCATAAATGTGATCCCAATGTTAAACCCAAACCAGTCGAACCATCACACCCAGTTCATGTTTTCTGTGTCAAAGTAAAATCTGTCTTTACTAATGACATCACATTTTTATGCAACTGTGCCCCAGAGCCCTTTAGCAAGGCAGGGCAGGCTGGGTGTGGAGGTGTCTCCTCATGCCTCACCTGAAGGCCGGCAACAGTGAGGCGGCGTGCATCGTTCGCTGGAGCAACAACAGGAACAAGGTAGGGGCTGTCAGGGATGTGCTGGTCGTTAAACTTCACAGAAATCTCATAATCACCTGGAGAGGAGGGAGCGAGGTGTAAATTAGAGAGTCACAGAGATGCATCAGTTATCAATCATCAGGTTTAACTGTGTGTTTTCTCTACCAGGCTCCTGAGCAATGTAAGAGACACCGCAAGATCCGTCTTTGCGGTCCTCGAAGGAGATCTCTGCCCTGCTGGGTCCCTCCATGGCGATAGAGAGACCGCCGGCCCCCGCCTCCCTCGTCCAGATACTGAAGTCAGCTGAGAAAGAGAGGTATGAGAAAACTTTAAATCCACAATACACAGACCTCTTTCTAACAGATTAGTCCAGGCCTTTTCTGCAGCAGGGACAGGCGATACCTCTAGATTTGATTGTGATCCTATATGCAGTGATACCAATGTTCTTAATTTGTAAGTGAATGGAATATCATGTAGGACAGAGTTATGTGTTTTTATTTATTTATTTTAGCAGGAGCTGGAAAGCGTCTCTATGGATGCAAATCAACAATGCGATGACAACAATGTCCATCTATTTTTTTTTTTTTTTTTTTAAATTCTCTGTACTGTCTGTTGCCCTCAGCCTCACTGGTTCCTATAGAAGATGTAGATCTTTAAAAACAGCTCACAAATAGATATTTATCTTCTATTTATCTTCTATTTATCTTTAATAAAAAGCTCAATAATTTCCAAAAATAGCTGGCCACAGTTTTAAGCAATCATTAGTCAGGAGGGAGCACTTAATGGGGACTATTTGATGACATGATACACAGTGTAGCAGATTATGTATTTTTGGACAACAAATCAGTTCTTTGTTAATTTTAGTCTTTTTGTGGGATTTGTTGACAAATACAAAAAAACAAAAAAAAAAAAAAAACAGAACATATACAGACTTATTCTTATAGGTCAGGCATGTAGCCCTGATGTAAAGGAATGAATGTACTTGATGTTAAGTCCCTGTAAGGATGATGTCTGTGTGGGAGTCTACCTGGCTCTCCTGCCTGCGCTCCCTCTAGTCCTGGACCTCCTGCTCTCACCTTGGAGGCCCCGCCCTCTCCGAGAGGCCCCACAGTGAACTTGAAGGGGCTGCCTGGCACATGCAGGCCCCTGTACCTCACATTCACAGTGTGCACACCCATCTCTGTGGGTACAAAGCGCACACAGTAGGTGTCGTTACCCGCTGCGACCAGCTCGGCAGGCTGCTTTTCTCCAGAGGGGGAGATAACCTCCGCAGTGACGTCCTGCATGTCGATTGCTGCAAAGACAGTCAGACAGTTTTATCACTTTTTTGTGCTAAAATGAAGTGAATGTTGGGTGGTAGTGAAATGAGAAAATGAGATGACAAAGACAAGAGAAATAAGGAGCAGCTGCAACTTAATAAAGCATGTTATGTTGCAAACCTTGTGCTGCCAACCCTGCTTTTTTCCCCTAGGGCTACAACGCACCCTCCACCCTGGCACCACCCTCCGGGCAGCAGGCATCAACGACCCAAACACCCCTCACTGCCCTCGTCCCCCTTGCCAGCACCAGACCAGAGAGGCCAGAGATGAGGCGCACGTGCCCAGGGGAGAAGCTCTGATCCTGTGCAACGGCAGCGGAACGAGTTCTGCAACCACTGGATCTTCCAGACCACCAGAGGGAGCAGTAGGAGCGGGAGGAGGTGGGAGAAAGGAGATGCCGAGATAACGCCAGAAGGAACCAGCTCACTGGAGGAAGAGAAGGGGGACGAGGACAAAGAGGTGGAAGAAGAAGAGAGGAACAATTGGTGACAGGGACAGAAGACAAAGGAGAAGAAGATAAGAAGAAACTGAAGAGGAAAAGAGAGAAGAGGAGAAAGTGGATTTGGACAAAACAAGAAAAAGACATACAAACGAGGAAAGATTAGGGCAGAAAAAAAGACAAACTGACAGACGAAGGAGAGATGTCAAAATAGATTTTTTTTAAAGGAGGCAGGGTGACAAAGGGAAAGATGGAAGAAGAGGAAAAGAAGAGATTAAGAAAGGACAAGACAAAGCTAACAGACAACAGTCATCACAAAGCAGCAGAAGGAAACGAGACAGAAACTAGAGAAATGTCAGAACTTCAAACATGAAACAGTTTTAGAAAAGGAGGAGCTGCTCTGGTGTTGCAGGATGTGTTCAGTCCGAGCATGTCTCCAGATTTCAGCTGGGCAGAACGCTGACAGTCTGTGACACATTGAGACTTCACAAGTTTAAGACCTGCTCATTTGTACCTTTTATTGACCGATAAAACAACCAAACACCCAATGTCTACATGTGAGGATACTAACAAGACGAAATCTACTGTGCCTGTCATCAAGGTGGTCCAATCATGAGCCTTCAGACTAGTGAGGAGAGAAAGCTTGTGTGTGTGTGCGCATGTGTGCATGAACTGTATTGTACCTGGTATCTTCACACTGAGGTCACAGACACTCCCCACGCTGGCAACAGATGCCGCCTTCTGTCGTCGTGTGATGCTCTCACGTATACGGCCCTCCCCTGTCACCCGCACCGTGAATGGACTTCCTGTTGATAAACATAAACACATCTTAAATTATTTGTCTGAAAAGATAAACTTAATTTTCATTCATTAAAAGTCTACTCTTCCCTAATCAAAATATCCAGAATCTATGATGATGCTAATAGTTTTTGTTTCAGAAGTTTACCTGCTGGATGCATCGTGTCTCCTGCTTCTCTAAAAAAATTCTATTAGTTAGAAGGACTTGTTTGTATATGCAGATGATGTGATGCTCAGTGTGAAGAGTTTTAATGTCTTCTTAAAATAAACACACAGAGCAGTAACATTAGTTTTGTTTTTGTTTTTTTACCTGGGACATGTTCCTCTGCAAAGCGGATCGAGACAATGTAGTTTCCTGGTTCAGTAGGACAGTAGGTGACTCCACATGTTCCGTCCTCCATGTCCTCCGTCTGGATGTCCACCTTACTGGGACCTTCGATGGCCAGAGCCAGGCCGCCATAACCTGCACGCACGCACGCGCACACACACACACACAGATACATGAAGCTACCATTGGTTCGCTAAACAGGCTGCTGTCAGACTTTTAAGTGATAATTCCCAACCTCAGCAGTTACCTGTGAGTAGTGTTGTTATAATAGTGTTATAAATATGATAATATTGTTGGTAAAATACTTTAAGTTTGGTGAAATGTGTAATTTGTAGGAGAATTTCTACTTATACAAACGTGGCAGATTAACATTGGATTAAGATCACAGACGACCTCTGCAATTTTTAAATTACCAGAGGCCCCCAGGTTATACTAGTCCCGTGCAAATAGGGCTTAAGAGTCTACTGCCATGCTACCAGCTCTGTGTAGTTGAGCTAATGCTAAAATGATAATGTGTAGCAGGTATAATATTCACTATGTTCAGCATCTTAGTTTAGCATGTTAGCATGCTAATAGTTGCCATTTAGCAATAGATTTTAGCTGATAGATTTCATGACAATCCATCCAAGTGGTGAACTGACAATATACTCATCCATAGAGTCAAACCACTAGCATGGCTAAAACAAAAAGGCATTTAGACAATTAAATACAGGTGTGACAAAGATGCTCTGCATACTGACCGGCCTCGCGAGTGTCGACCACAAAGCTGGAGTTGTTGAAAGTAGTTCCCTGGACGAGGCCGTCACCATGAACCTTGACTTGGCTGGCGTCACCAATCTCAGACTGGACGACCATGATGGGGATGGGACTGTTGGGGACGTGACGGCCGTTCTTAAGGATGCTGACCAGATGTTCACCAACCTCCCGCGGAATGAAGGAGATACCTGGTATGAGGGGGGAGAGAGTGAGTGGAGGTAGAGAGACAGACAATTTGGAGAGAATGAAAGGTGGAAGAGGAAAAGATGGAGGAAGCGGGGAAACATGGAGGAGAGGATAGACAGAGAAAGAGAAGCAGAAGAGAGGATGAAAGAAAAGGGTTGAGAAGAAGAAAAAGACAGAAATAGCACGAGGAGGAGAAACGAAAATAGGAGAGAAAGGAAGGTGAAAAACAGGAAGGGTGAGGAGTGGAGAGAGCAATGTGAAGGAAATAGAGAAGAAGGAAAACAGGTGAAAGGACAGATTCAAATCAACACATATTACTATAACTGTTTAATTACTTTCGTGAGTATGTGTAGTTTGTGTGTATTTGTTTGTGTATGCATGTTACCAATGTGGTTGTTGGCCATCCTCTTCAGCAGGCAGGGCTCATCGCGTCCAGACGGTGCCTTGATGCTGGCGGTCAGCAGGCTCAGGTCTGTCTCATTGATGTCCAGAGAGAAATCTGCTGCTGAGCCCAGTTTGACCTGAGAGCGCCGCTGGTTGTCCTCTGAAACACAAACACACACACAGTTAGGACCCCACTGTGAACGTGTAGCTGAACCCAGATATTTTACATTATGTCTGTTATGAACTACTCTTTTGTTAAATTACACCTCACTCTGTACAGTGGAGGGTAGAAATGAAATCATGACTTCTCATTAACGATTTGTTTTCTAGTGGTTCTGTAAAAGCTTTGGATTATTGATCACAAATGTTCTGCCTGTTTATGTGTCTGTGTGTTTGCAGTCTAACCAGTGATCCTGGCGGTGAACGGGCTGCCGGCGATGTGGTCATCGTTGTATTTGACCAGGATGTTGTAGTCTCCAGGCAGAGTGGGCAGGTAGCTGACGCTGCACGTCCCGTCCTTGTTGTCCACACAGCTGATCTCTGCTTTGGACGGACCCTCGATGGCCAGGTCCAGACCCCCTATACAGACAGACAGACAGACGTACTGATTATATTTGAAACAGGATGTCATCGCTGATTTCTAAAAATAAAAACCTCTTTCCAAAATACTGACATGATTATAAGAATTTACTGCTACAATATCACCATTACAAACACCAGTACTGCAGATACTGTTGCTGCTATGAATACTACTAAATTGTTTCTGTTGCAGAATTGCGCAACTTTAACAATGAATTTCATGATTACAAAAAAAATGTGACTATTGTTTCCCAACCCCACTGTGACTAATTCACACAGTCACAGTCGTTAACAGGAATAACTACCAGCTCTTCCTGTAGCTCACGTACCTTCAGATGCGTCATCTGTGCAGACGGTGAACATGGCCGTCTTGTTAGCGACGCCATAGCTCAGACCAGGACCATAAGCTGTGACATTGGGACTACTGGCGTGGTTCACGTAGAACTGAAGGGGAGACTCTGCAACACACACACACACACACACACACACACACACACACACACACACACAATCATTGCCACCACAATTTAAAATCACTAAAACTACAAGTGAAGAAGTCCTCAGTCCTCACTCTTCAGTGTACTTTGAATCTGGATCTTTTTTTTTTTTTAATGTTTGGGCTCCTTTGTTCCAATGAAGGGAAATCTGAACCCAAGCAATAACACACTATGAGTGGTAGGCGACATGCACATCACTGGCTTTGTCTTCTTTGTGGTGCAGGGAATTAAAAAAAGGATTTCCCGCACACACCTCTCACCTCTGCATTGATTTATTTAACAAAGTATGAGCATTATGGTCACATGCGCCTTTATCAAGACATATTCAATAAGTCTAGAGAACCCCATTTACTAAGTTGCAGACTGTGCTGACCTGGGATGTGTGAGCCGTTGTATTTGATATGCATCTCGTGCAGGCCGGCCTCAGTGGGTGAGTATTGCACCGTCACTGTCCCATCCAGGTTGTCTGTGATCAGCGGCTGAGCTTTTTTACCTGAAGGCATGTGCACCTCACCTGAGAGAGTCAGAGAGTTGAAGACACATGTAAATATTATTTGCATATTCCCATTTGACTGTTATGTTAACCTGTAATGAAACCTGCTGCTTATCAGTCTCACCTGTGACCTCTCCCTTCCTGAAGGAGAACGGTATCACCATGTCAAACGGTCTGAAGCCGCTTCCATTAACGCTGCTGCTGATTGGCTTGTAGTTTTCTGATGTCACCTGAAGACACACAAACACACACAAAGATTTTAATGCCTCTATTCAGCACTGAAAACAACTTCTGTCCATCCCAGTGACCTGCATTAGAAACATGCTGCTGCGTCCAAGCCCCCGCCCACACAGGAGCATCCTGGGAAGTGTAGTGCGATGGAGCAAGAAGGAAGAAGAGGAGGAAGAAGATGATGATGATGATGATGATGATGATGATGATGATGATGTGACTCTGTGATGCAGCCACAGCGATGGAGAGTGCACTGAGGAAAAGGAGAGAGAGAGACCGCCACAACAAACCCTGCCTGGAGGAAGAAAAAAAAAAATCCTCAAACACCCGTTACCATAGCAACGCCTTCTGCAACACATCTCACAAACACCTGGGCTTTATTTATTCATGTTTGCCGCGATCCCATTGGCTGAGACAAAAAGAGGAGCGATGACATGGAGGAGGCAAAGCAGGCGAGCAAGTACATTTTAGGATGGAGAGAGAAGTTTGAACCAGCAGCCACCTGCAAGAGAGAGGAGCTGTGTGTGTGCGTGTTTTGTGCAGTGTGTGCCAATCTTGTTATCGTCATCCAAATAACTATATCTATATGGTGTGTTCCAGCAAGTTAGCTCGTGTGGGTTTTTTTGAGTGTGTGCATGCATGCGTGTGTGTGTGTTGAGGGTACCCAGGGCTGGAAGCCAGCTCCGGGGGCGGCCTGCTGCTGCATCTCTTGCATCATGGGTACCTCATCAGTAGCCTGAAGACACGACAGTGAGGGTTAAAATCTGACCACACACACACACACACACACACACACACACACAATCTTAATCCAGCACCAACACACATTTTAGAATGTTAAAAAGTGAGTCTTAAACCCATTTCTATCAATGAGCATTATACTTCTATCAATGTTGGAACATAAATGCATTTACTCGAGTACTGTACTTGAAGCAGCTAAAAATTGTACCTACTATTTAATTTTTTGCTACTACATACTTCCACTCAACTATAATTTGGAGGCCGATATTGGATTTTTTATTCCACTAGGCCTACTTTTGATGTGCTATTATGGATTAAGTTACCCAGCAGTATTAAAACTGGCCATGTGAGCAGGGTGTATGTATGGTGTGTTCGGTGTGCGCTGAAGGAACAGACTTGCATGCACTGAATGACATAACATGCTGCTCTCCAGACATCTCTAAAATACTTAAAGGTCAAAGCTACACGTGAAGGACAGCCGTTAATCAGAATGTGTAGACAGCTATGTTGATAAACAACTGAGGCGTGAGATGGATCTTAACTCTTAGTATCCAGTTTACTTATTTGTTTATGTCCTGCACCACAGAGTGAAATTATGTGTAGCTACACACTGGTGAAGGGCAGGTATGGTGGGACTGGTTTGGGTAAGTGCGACACTCTCTCTCACTCACACACACACACGGAGGCTAAGAGACAGAGGTATTGATGACATACAGTGCTGTGGCTTTGTGGGTAAATCCTGATCTGTAAACTGAAGGCATGAAGTCAAAAAGTTAATCAACTTATCGTCACTTACACCTGCATCAGCTGATTGTTTTGGCCTCTTTTCTAATCAATCTGCACTTGACCTGCATTAACAGTGATCATGTAAACTTTAAAGTGAAGGATGAAACAACAGAGTCTGCTAATTTGATTTCCAGCAGCTGCCTAGAATGACAAGAAAAATATTAAAAGACCGTACAGATACTGTATACGTACGTATACTGTGATACAGTACAAACTAATAAAAAAATACAGTGAGATCTCCGTCTGTCTCCATGTCTTCTGTTCAAAGCTGCAACAGACGACCATCTCAGCTCAGATGAACTTATTATGTTTCTCTAATCAGAGCGAACACAGTGACCACAATGACTCACCATGACTTTGAAGGGACTGCGTGGGATGTTTTCGCCTCCAAAGCGGACGTAGATGACGTAGTTCCCAGGTGCTGGCGCTGTGTAAAATATGTCAAAGGTGCCATCCTCGTTCTCCATTACTTCGGCCTCCACCTCGCTGCCGTCAGGCTGAACCACCACGCAGCTCACCTTCCCCTTCCCAGCACCCTTAGCGTTCACCACCAGGCCCAGCTCCGCGCCAATAGCCACAGTGGGACCCACACCTGGACCTGGGAGGAGAGGGAAGACATTTTTAGTAGGTATTGTTCCCTCCATATTATTTTATTTTGTTTTTTTAACCATTTATTTATGTTGTCTGTGTGACATCATAATTCATAGTTATGTACCTGTGACGGTGCATTTGCTGGCGTCTCCAGTTGCCGTGGCGCGGACCTTGTAAGGCGAGGCAGGGATGTCGTCACCGCCGTACTTAATGACGATGGTGTACCGGCCTGTACGGTCGGGGATATAAGACACCCGGTATGTACCGTCACCGTTGTCGTGGATACTGGGCTGCTTAGGTTTACCATCCTGGTCCTGAAGAGGAAGGAGAACAGATATTTTAGTGTGATGTCTTTTTCCCCATGTGTGTGTATAATTATGAGTGTGTGTTACTGACAGTGATGAGCACGCTCAGTTGGCCCTGGCCGGCGTCCTTGGCATCGATGTTGAACTCAACAGGGAAGCTGGCGGGGACGCCATTGGTCAGCCCGGGGCCGCTGGCTCGCACTTTACTGGCATCATGAGTGGGCAGAACCCGAAACTTGAAGGGACTGAAGAGAAGACAGACATAGTTACTACGGAGACTGATCGTCAGCAGGGCTTGGTCAACAGTACAGTGCTGATGTGCTCCTGACAGAGGCAACACAAACACCCCAGTACGTGAATAAAGTACAAAAAAACTAGGCATTGACTCATAGTGCCTCTGCAGTACTACTCAGTACCTGCGGGGGATGTCCTCCTCTGCGTACTTGACGGCCACAGAGTACGGTCCCTCCATAGATGGAGTGTAGGACACCAGGTGAGTCCCGTCCCCGTTGTCCGTCACCTCCACGGGCTCTGCGATGCCTTTAGGAGCCGTGACGGCCACAGCCAGCGGGGCCACCCCGGCCTTCCTGCAGTCCACAGTGAAGGACTGTGGGATGTTGGCTCTGACCCCTGACCCCACACCGGGACCAGTCACCTTGACCTTGGTGGAGTCCACCACGTCCTTCACTGGGACTTTGAATGGACTTCCTGGAAAGAACAGGAAGAGGAAATGTTGGATTAAGTCACAAAAGCAAATAAATTGAGGGGTTTTTTTTCTTTTAAAGAGCCAACAAAGATTATTTGTGGATACAGTGCATCATATTGTTCCCATAAGAAACAAGTTTAATACGTTGCCCATTTTCACTGTCATTTAAAGCTAAAACAATAATTAGCAACAGCTTAATAGTCGAACGAAAAAGCCAAACGTTTCTTTGTTCCTACTTCTCAGATTATGAGGATTTTTTGGCCTGTTCATTAAATATCTTGAGGTTCTGAAGTGTCGGCTGGACAAAACAAACTAATTAAAGACATTAATTTAGGCTTTTAAAAACTGGTGGGGCATTTTTGTATCTGACATGTTATAGGCCAATCAATTATTTGAATATTCATTAAAATAACTGACTAATCGAAAAAAATAATTGTTTGTTGCCTGTTCATGGAAAACACAGCCCCATATTTAGCTTTTCAGTCTGCCTGTGCATCACTGATCCTTAAACTCTACTTAAATATAAACTTTACTATCACAAGTAGCCTAACTAACAGCTAATTGCTATAAGTCTATAAAGTTTATCCTGGTGTTCCACTCTTTGTGAGTTTGATCTGGGTGACATGGTTTCTGTATACTGCAGCTCTCTGTAGCTCCAGCTGTCTTCACACAGCAGAACCACAAACCAGCAGCAGTCTGTGAAAGGTGTCGAACACGGAAACATGCTGAGCTTTTCCTGAACAAAGTCAATTAAACTGGGCTGCGGCTTTTTTTTTTTTTTTTTACTTCAACCACATCTTTAAGACATTAGACTGAAACACTCTGTGTGTCAGCAACATCTTTTTAACATTAACAGAAAAACACATCTCTAAACATCAGTTGTTTACAGACGGAAATCTGAGCAAAGACAAATTAACAAACACGTGAGAGAATTTTAAAGACAGTTAAGATTTAAAGGATAAGTCTATACAATTTTTCTTCTCAACAAATCCCATATAAAGACTTAAATGAATGGCACAGCGATCTATGCAACACTAGGTAGAAAAAGATTTCACACACTTACATCTCTGCAGTGTTTCACTTTGGGTCTATTTGCACCTTATCTGATCGTACATGAGGCAACAATGGACAGGCTGGTAGTGTAACCAATCTCAGTCTAATCACTGGCTGTATGCAACACACCTGTGTGCAACCCCGGTGGTAGGAGCCCCACCTTCTGGGAGTTGTAGGTTTTTTTAAATACTGAATAGCAAACTGAAAGGCATACAAATGAAACCACATATGTGTGAGCTGGTTTTAAAGATTGTACCAGTGGGCTTGGAGCTGAGTGCCGCAGACTATGTAGGAAGTATTGAGAGACGGACTGACACATTGTTGGTTTTGGTCTCAATAAGAGTATAGAATAATATCAGACACTGAACTTATTGACCAAACAGTCCTGTTATCATAAACCACACCAGCATGACACAGCTTAAATGATCTCATCTCACCTGGGATGTGCTCTCCTCCGTAGGTGATATTGACATCGTACATGCCAGGGGTGAAGGGAACGTACTCCACACTGCAGCTGCCATCTTTGTTGTCTTTGCAAGACATCTTTGACTCTGATGGACCCTCCACCGTGATGCCCAGACCGCCAATACCTGCCCCTCTGGTGAAGGATGAATACACCCACAATCAGCAACATTCTGACCTGAAGTTAGAGACTTTAACGTTGAAACAAAACGCTACAAAACAAGTCTCTGCCCTCTATCTATAAGCAGTACCTGGTGATGATGTTGAAGTTGTTTGGTTTGTCAGTCAGGGCTTGTTGGAGCCCGGGGCCAGTAGCCACCACCCTGCTGGGGTCACATCCCTCCGACACAGACACCTTGAACGGGCTCTTAGGAACTGGTGTGTTGTCATATAGAACGTGGATGTTGTGGACGCCTGTAACACACACCAGGACAGACAGCAGCTGATGATCAGAGTAAGATATGTTGTTGTAGGTTACAGTAAAATAGTTTGGTAAAGATTTATATTTTTCAGTCCTGATCACACACACACACACACACACACACACACACACAGGTGCAGCAGGTGTGTTACCGTTCTCAAAAGGAGTGTACTCGACGTTGTAGGTCCCGTCGCCTGCGTCGGTGATCTCACAGTCTGTCAGCGCTCCGGACGGGTTCCTGACCTCCGCCTTTATGTGGTCTCCTCCTCGCCGTGTCAGAGGACTGGCGTCCACCGTGAATGATGTGGTGGCTTCTCTGTAAACAGCTGGAGGAGACAGGAGGGAGGAACGTATGTTTAAAGGAACATTCCAACCATTTTGTCCCACATGAACTTCAGTTTACTAGTGATGGTCAGTCCTACTCAGCCTGTGGAAGATTTATAACAGAAAACCCACACTGCAAACTGGGGACATTAAATATGAAAGACATGCACATACATGGGTCAGGAAAGGTCTCATGAAAGATTAAAGTGAAGTGTATTTTGGGAAATGTGGAGATTTTTTAATTTCATTTTACTTTTTTATTTGTGGGAAAACTAAACTGGAGTCTCCCTTTAAACTGTTAGTCCAAGTCAAATTACAAGGTGTGTATCTGCTGCTGTGGAAAAAAAAGAGGTGAGTTTTAGTTTAATTAAAGCAGCTATAATTTATATTTTTTAAAATCATAATGTATCAAATTACAATGTTCAATGTGTCACTCATTTCACTTCGTTAATTTGAGAGCACAAAATAAATTTACACCCTCTCTGAAACCACACAGAGCTGAGCACCGACTCTCTGATGGATCATACTGCACCTTTTCCATCCACTCCGGGTCCAAACACTTTGACCTTGGAGGTGTCGACAGCAGGATCCACCGTCACCTTGGCAGGGAAACCTGGCACGACTTTGCCTCCGTACTTCAACAGCAGAGTGTACATGCCGGAGGTCAGAGGGATGTAGGTCACCGTGTAGGTCCCATCTTTGTTGTCCACCACCTCCGTCTTAGCTTTAACGCCTGAAACAACACAGACCAGTTTGTATATTTACATCACAGAACTGGAGACTGAGCATCTCAAACATGAGCCTTACTTTTAACAGAAGACACTCTTCACGAAAACTCAATTTGACTTTGTGGAACTGGGACAACTTCAATACCAACTAAATATTTTTATAAACGTGTGTATGTTTCTTGAGTATATGGATTTATGATTTTTAGTATTGTTCAATTTTTTTTTTTCAAATTTCTTTAATTCTTTTGCCATTTTTTTTTTGTTTAATTACTTTCAAGTTGTGCATGAACCTGTACATAAATGTCTATGTGTGTATTCTGACCAAACTTATTTTGGCCCTTTGTAACCAGGGCCAATTATTATCACTATTTTACCTGTATGTATAAGTTGTTGTATCATTATTGTGTTTATCATAACCCTACATGTACATTTGCGTGTCTTTACACGTCTTTCTTTCCTCTACTTTCTTCTGTACAGATGAAAATGTTCATGCATCTTACACATTGTAATTTTAGTGGAAACATCTTTCAATAAAAATACAGCTTTACAAAAAAGAGTTTAAATGTGAAAAAGCCGACACTGGTGGTTTTTCCCTGCAGACAGCCATTTGTTTCAGTTCTCTTTAGTAACATGACTGGAGACTCAGAGACCTCAAGTAGTAGTGAAGTTTGACAAGGCAGCGATTCAAGTTTCAAGTCTCTGCATGAAACCAAATGTCTGTCTGAAAGGAAGGAAATGTATCTAACAACTAATGGAGGACTTGGAATGAACATGTGATTTGTAGTTATTGGGCTAAAACATGTACAAGCACCAGTGTTCTAATTCACAGCTAATAGTGTGTGTACTGGTTGCTGGTGTTATTAGAACCTGGTGCAGCGCCACTGGGACTGATTGGGGGGGAGTCGAGTGCGTCCTCCAGGCTGAGTGTTCCTGGTCCGGCCCGGGAACAGTCCACATTCACCACACTGGGCTCTCCAACCTGCACAGACAGCAAGCTGGATCAGACTTCATACTGCAAGAATCAGAGGCTCAGAGCAGAACTAGTCATTCAGATGCTTTGTTTTTGCAGGTGGGAAAAAAACAACATAATTGCTGAATTGATCCAGAACCGATTCAAAATCTGATTTAAAGGTACCTAAAAAGCGTAATCTTTAGCTTCCATCTTCCTCCGCAGACACTCACCTTTGCTCTTTTCAGGCCCGCCCCTGATGCCACCACCTTAGAGGCGTCAAAGGGCAGCTGAATGTCGGCTTTGAACGGCGAGCCCGGGATGTGGACCTCCTCAAATAGGATGTTGACCAGGTAGTCTCCGGGCTCAGTGGGCAGGTAGGAGACAGAGCAGGTCCCGTCGCCATTGTCCGAACACTCAATCTTGGCCTCAGTCGGCCCTTCGACCGTCAGCCCCAGACCTCCAGTGCCGGCGCCCTTTGTGTCGATGGTGAACTCTGCAGGGTTTCCCACCAGACCTCCCTTCAGACCTGGACCGAACGCCTTCACCTGGAGGGGACAATGATGGTGACATGACAGTGTTGTAGAAATGAAACCGTTTCAGTCAGATTTACACTGTTAATAATAATCTGTATCCGTGTCTCCTTTAGATGTGGAAGGAACAAGAAGATGTATTTATTGTCACTTCTTCTGTAATTTTCTTAAACATATATAGTAAGAACAGAATCTAAACATAGTTTTTATTTTTTCTGGGGTTTTTTTTTTGTTGGATTTTGTGCTTTCCTTCATAAATAATTGCCATCATGACACAGAGGACAAGATTTACATAGTTAAAAATTTGTGCTCTAAAATAAGACCGCAGTGAGAAATAACTTTAAGGAATAGAAAACAAAAGAAACATTGAAAAGATTGGATCTTTAAGGTGGTCCTAAAGGAGGTATGGAAACATGGTTGCAGATGTTACCTTGCTTGGGTCTGGGGGCAGCTGTGCGTCCACAGGGAACGGGCTCCCAGGGACGGGGTGTCCATCGTAGGAGACATTGACAGAGTGGACGCCCTCCTCTGTGGGGGTGAAACGGACTGTACTGACGTCTGCTTTACCGGGCTGAGGCTCCACTTTGCACTTCACCGCCCGCTGGCTGGGGCTCAGCTAGTAACACAAACACACACACACACACACACACACACACACACACACACACACAGAGGAACACACTGAACACCTCAGTCTCTTTTAAAGAATAAATCTGGCAACTTTCTATATTTTTCATTTTATTAGCTAATCTTGTGAAAATACAAAAACCAACAATTAATCTCACTAATAAGTTTTATCACTTTAAAGTGATCTCAACACTCACCACTGCCACCTCCAGTTGACCTTGGCCTCCTGCACCTTTTGTATTCACCATAAACTGCTGCTCCTGATTCACCTCCGCTCCTGAAAGACATTTCATTTATTTTGTAAGCGATGAAAAGGACTTAATTTTCTCTGACCGCTTTTAAGTCAAAGCTAAAAACATTACTTTTTACACTGCGTACTCCACCCTGTAATGACTGAAAACTTATTTTTAAACTCCATTTTAAATAATTTAAATAATCTTTTTATCTTTGCACCTCTTGTCTGCACTTTTGCTATTTTAAATGGAGCTTTTTTTTGTTACTGCAAATCATTTAGTAATTAATTGGACTTTAGGTCACACAGCTGAGGGTCAGACAGCTGCCAAGTCAGGTCAAGTTTAAGTCAGTTTAATTATTCAGAAATATAAATTCTGATACTAGTTTTGATACTGAAGAGGTTAAAAATGTAAACTCATACACGTGATGGACAACTATAAGGTTTTTAAGTTGGACAGAAGGCTGGCAGGAAGCACAGAAAGACAGATCTCTTACTTCCTTCCAGGTTGTCCACGTTGACTTTGCTCAGATCCAGCGGGGCAGCGATGCCGACTGTGAAGGGGCTCTTGGCGATGGGATCTCCTCCATACTTCACTGTGATCTTCTGCTCCCCCTGCAGACACCCAACATGCAGACACTTCAGCTCCATTTTATAAAATAAGAAGACAATTCGAAGTTGAAATATTGTGAGTATCCTGATATGCATTTTTCATATCATATTAAAAATTATACCAGTATTATAATGAAGGAGATGATATGGCACACCCCGAGTGGACAGTTTGCTTGTTTGTTCTTTTGTGAACTTACTTCTACATATCTACCTACACTTACATATCTCTATCTGTCTGCACCTCTTTAATCAGTCATTTCAGATAGAGATGATAAAATATTAGAACAATATTTTAATAATATATTATAATATTCTGTATATAATATAATCATTTATTGATTATTATATAATGATATAATACATTATTATACTGGGCTGATAAACAGAGCACAGACAAATCAGTTGCACAGGTGTGAATGTGATGTACCGTTTGTACAGTTTGCTGTGTAGGTGTGTATTTAACGTACCCATTAAACAGGTGTGTGTTTGTGTGTCTGTTATTCAACCTCATGTGCTACCATTTCTTTGGCATACCTGTTGTACAGGTGTGTATTTGACAGTCTGGGAGTAGTCGTAGTTGTCGATGATGTCAAAGTCTTTGACGGGGGAGGAGAAGGTGACGTCCAGCGGTGCTTTACCGGCTCCTTTGGTCAACACTGTGAAATGAGTCGGCTTACCGCTCTCCACACCTGCACAGGTAGACAGAGAAGAAGTGCAGCAGTCAGGTAACAACACATACAGACATAGCATCAAAAAAAAAACAGTTATTTGAAAACAGGTAATTTTGATTGTGTGCGTCTGTGTCTGCGTCTCACCAGTACAAGCCAGTCCTGGACCCTCTGCTTTGACCTTTGATGCATCGTGGGAAGGTTCTACTTTGACAAGAAATGGGCTCTGTGGAACTTCCTGTGATGAAAACGTTAAACCCAGTAAATTCATCATATCAAACCACCATTATCCTCTCATTTCTGTCCACTGCATGCGTGTGTGTGTGTGTACCTTGTCAGTAAACAGGACTTTAACGGTGAGTCTTCCAGCAGCAGGAGGCATGTATTTGACAGTGAATGTGTCATTGGCGTTGGGGATAATGTCAAAGTCCACGTCGGCCTCTTTGTCACCAACCATGTTGGCATCACACTTAATGCCCACGCTGACGTCACCTGGACGGACACACACACACATTTATTCTGTCACTTGCTACCTTGACAGTGAGTGTTATGAATTAACTCGACTCACTGTTTCCAGTGTTACAGTGACACTGACTGCCACAGGGGGGCAGTAGAGTGTTTCTGTTTATAGCTGTTCATTTATCCTACTCAGACACATGTTGCCCCTTGGATGCTGTCATCAGCTCTCTAATGTAAACAATGAACTTAACCAATGGCACAATCAAAGAGTTTCCTGCAGCAGAACTGAGCCGTCAATCACAGCGGAGGAATTCAAAGTATGAGAGGAACGAAGCAGGAAGCTGTGTCACATGACAGAAACAGGTCAGATTCTTTCACCACTGACGATATCAACACTCCTCTCTCTCTCGTCAGCCCTCCCCTGCTCTCCCATAGCTGCTTCACCCAGGAGGTGCGACCTAGACAGGTGTGTTCATACAATATATCATGATATACAATCACCTGTTGTGCACAGAGCAGAGGATGCCAGGACAACACCGGAAAGAAAATCCTGACAGTATCAAATACTCACTGTCTGCAGGAGCCTCTAAATCAGTGGTTCCCAACTGGTGGATCGTGTTTCATAAGTGGGTCAAGGGTCCATTCTGAATCGACAGCAAGTGACAAGTGAAGCAACTTTATTTTTTAGGTACAGTGAATTTCCAGCAGAGAGCTTTAATTTTGAAGTGCCGTTTTCTGCTGTAGAATGAGTGACGAACAGACAGCTACTTGACAGAGACAGAAAACTAGCTTGGCACATGGCCGAAAGCAAGTATTACATTATATTAAACTGTGGGACCTCGAACTCATGACTAAGGAGAAATCTGGACCCAGACGCTCGACCAGTTGGGAACCACTGCTCTAAATGTTTCGTAGGAGAACAATTAGTCATGAAATGAAATTTACACCAGATTTTGATATTATCTCAATAAATCTATACAAATGAATCCTCACCATCCTCACCATCCTGGTGGATGGCTACAGATTCTTCACAAGAATCTTCGGGTATACTGCTCCATTCATCTTCCCTTTTTATGATGTGGATTCTGCTGGTACCATGAGAGGATAAACAGCCCCATACCATGATGCTTCCACCTCCAAACTACACTGTAGATATGGTATTTTTGCAGTGGTTCTGCTCTCTTCAATTTAAAACTCTTTAATGTATTTTTGTACGTGGTTTGTGCAGGTAGGTGATGAAGCATGATTGTGTGAGTGTGTGTTCTGCTCAGGAAGGTTAAATTGATGAATTTCCTGTCAGGATGTTTCTGCCTTGAGATCATCGTCAGCACACACCAAGGGGAAAAGAGCGCGTGCGTGTGTGTGTGTGTGTGCGCGTGTGTGTGTATCGCTCTCAGACAATATGAAGGTGAATGTTTGTCTGCATGTTTAAGTGTGGAAACTGCCGTCACACCAAATAAAACCGTCTGTGGGGGAATTCCTGTCTTAATTATCACTCTGTGTATGTGTGTGTGTATTTCTTACCGTCTCCAGCTCCTGAACAGTCCACGGTGAAGTGCGTGGGCTCGTTGGCCTTCAGTCCAGTTCTCTCCACTCCAGGACCGAACACCTTCACCTTGCTGGGGTGGCTGCCTTTACCAACATTCACCTACAAGCACCACAACAGGAAATGACATCACTTACTTCCATTTTGAAAAGGTTATTCAAGGAGATCCCCCCCACCTCAGATCCTGCAGTGTTAAAAGCAGCACAACAGTTAAAATGTTTTGGTATTCTTAGTATTACAAACAATTAAAACAAAACATGGAGTTCCACAGGGCTCTGTCACGGATCCTCTACTTTTTAAAATCTTTATATAGTGCTTAACTACAATTTGTGATGTTGGATCTCATACAGCTTAATTTCACTAAACTTTAACACAGTAGTGACGTGTTATTGCAGTTAAGGTAAGAACAGTGAATTTGAAACAGGAAAGCTATAGGCTAATTTTCACATCAGCAGCCTTTTAAAATTTTGAATGAATTCAGGGAGCCTATATTTGGACAGGAGCCCCTAAACATGCCAAGAATAATAATGCATCACTTAGAGCCCCTGAGAGTGACACAAGTCTTATGGTACTCTGCAAATATAATGTTCCTACATGTGACATTAAAAAAATGGTACACCAGAACTTTAGATATGTATTTAAAGGATAGAGGGCTCAACCAATGATGACGTTCAAGTGAAGAGATTTCTCTAATATATGGTATGTTAGTTCACTTTTCAGCTGCAGCTTCAGCAATAAAAAAACTGATGCCTGGGATCAAACATCATCTAATAGAGTTAAAAAGCTGTCTGGGTATGAATATGTAGAGGTAGATCACACAAAAAAATACTTATAAAATAATTTATAAAAGTGGTTCAAAGTCAGTTCAACATAAATCAGAAATGCTAAACATTTTACAAATATTTTAAAAGGATTGTGCTTTGGTTTTTTATAGCTGCTCATGTCTTGCAGCACGTTGGCAGTCAGTCATGATTAAAAATATATTATCAAGGACTACAACATATTTATTTCTGGATGGTACAGTGATGTAAAATATAACATTAAACTCAAATATATATAGTCAAATGGTTGGAAAATATAATAAGAATAAGGAAGAGGAGGAGGAAGAAAGAAGATGATTAAAAGAACAAAAACGACATCAAGATCAAGCAAGTCAGAAAACTCTAAAGCAAATGAACCAAACAACACAGTTTTCACATTTAAATGAAATGTCACAATTTATTTTTAAACCAACCTCTTATGATTAAAGTGGATAGAAGAGATGTTGGGTTTAGTACAGCTGATGATTAAGGTGAGTTTCACTCAACATGTTAGTCACAAATTCACCGTTGTAAGATGAAAAAAAAAAAGAGGAAATAATCAAAAAATGCATCCATTGCATGAATGCATTTACAAACCACCAACTAAATGATCCTTTCAAAGTCACTCAATCATTTTAACATATTACACAGTAAGTCAACACCCACCTAATACATAAAAACTAGACCCCAGTGTGCAAAGTGCAAAGCATTCAAGTTTGTTTATCAGCCATCTTCCAGGTTTGTTTTTAAAAAATGAAGACAGAGCACCCCCGAAGTTTTATCTGTCAACGAAACTCCAACCAAATCTCTTTTAAACCTCAAAGCCAACACTGCAGAGGATTCAAACATCCACAGATGTGCTTACTGAAGGTGTAGATTTGTGCAGTGACTGCTTGTGGTAGCATGCTAGTGCTAGAAAGCCACAGTAGCCCCCAAGCTAGCGATACCAGCTTGTTCTGTTAGCAACTGAGCTAAATCACATCAGTTGTGTTCATTCATTCATTCATTCATTCATTCATTCATTTTCCATATCCGCTTATTCTGTTAGGAGTTGCAGCAGGGCTGGAGCCTATCCCAGCTGACATTGGGCTAGAGGCAGGGTACACCCTGGACAGGTCACCAGACTATCACAGGGCTGACACATAGAGACAGACAACCATTCACACTCACATTCACACCTACGGGCAATTTAGAGTCACCAATTAACCTGCATGTCTTTGGACTGTGGGAGGAAGCTGGAGTACCTGGAGAAAAACCCACACTGACAAGGGGGGATGCAAAGTCCACACAGAGGGGCTCCCCCACCCCGGGTTCAAACAAGGAACCCTCTTGTGGTAAGGCGACAATGCTAACCACTGCACCAGTGGTGCAGGGTAGAGACATATTTGTGCCATTGATGCAGGTCATGTCTCTTCCGACATACAGTTTCATATTCAAGCACAGCAGGTTTACAGCATGAATTATTGCATCAAAGTTGAACTCAACACCAAACCTCTTAGCAGATTAATTTCACCTTAGTTCCATCGCAAGTACTTGATTTCAATCTAAAACTGAACTATAGTAGACGCTGAGGTGGCTGAGCCTGAGCCAAAAGTTGTAGTAAACTTAACAATGTCTTGCCGTCCATATTCTGTTTTCAGTACAATTACACAACAACACATAAACTGCATTATGTGTTGTTTTCCGTCACAGCTGTGAATATTAGTGACAGTTAGGGTCATGTGAGGTTGGGTCAGGTTTCCACCATGAGCTTCTCTTCTTCCACTCTGACTTCTTTACCTTCCCACTTCTAATGAAAAGGTGTCACGGCTGTGTGTTCCCAGCAGTGCTGAGAGCTGGGTGTGACTGTTTACTTTCCATCCATCTACTGTATCAACATTAAAGCTGGAGAAAGGTGCAGTCGGTGCCTGCAGGCTGCTGCAGCTCACAACAAGCCTGCTGATTCATCACGGTGACATCAGCTCTAAACTTTGGAATAATACTTTTTAGACAAGTACAAACTTCCCTGCACCAGTTGCAATGATTTGTGGACAAGTACAAATACTTCCAGCAGAGCCAGAAAAAACACGCAGAATGTTCTTTTTTACCATGATTGCGAAGGAAAACACTCTCTCAATCTCTCATTTTTTTATGATTGTGCAATCAAATGCTCTCTAGACTCTTCAAAGCTGCATCAACTTGTCTTGTCTGAGGAGTCTCTATCTTATAACTTCTGGACTTTGTACCTCAGATGTCTCAACACAAAGAAAGGAACATATTTGCCAACTCCTGCGGCCTGTTGGCATTGTCATAAATTCCTGAGCAGCACACAAACACATATCCAGACATATCTAAGGCCCATTGGATGTTTCTCATAAGGCTTATTTGCCCTGCGGGTGCACCTATAAAAACCACGTAAGAACAGGGAGACGGGAAGACAGCTGATAAACAAAGTCTGTAACCTCACAGTGATAAATACAAGGCAAAGAAAACTCTCAAACTGTGATTAAGAAAACTGAAAAAGGTGGTTACAGTGCAAAGAAGACTGGTTAGTGCATATCTCAGCTGTAAAATGAAAACCTTTTCACTTTTTTATTTATTTTATATAATTTAGCTTTCAGCACAGTGAGTATCCTGAAGTCATGTTTGAAATGAATATTCTAAATTTCATTGGTTAATAAAACTTTATTCTAATACAAGATAGTTTTAATTTGAGAGTTAACATAAAGTGAAAAGGTCATTCAACAGGAACAAGATTTACTTCATAAAAAAAAAAAAAATATATATAAATCACATGCTGTAAAGATGACAGCAGAGCTTCACTGATATGAACCCCTCGCGTGTAAATATAAATTACTGCACATATGTTTGTGCTCTCAATGTTTCACAAGCTTCTTTTAACCAGCTTCACCTCGAGGGCAGGTTTTTGATATCCAGTCAACCAGGAGGAGTAATTAGTGCAGCACCAAGGATGCGGTCCCTCTGATTTCAACTTTAACTTCGCTGATTTGACTTTTAATTAAACCAGCAACTAACACTTAAGCAAAAATATCAAAAGCTATGGCAGAGCTAAACGCACTGGACCTTAAGAAAACACACTCAAATGGAGAAAATGCTGTGTTTGTATGTGTTTTCTGTGTGCCACATGGTGAATATGTTTTTGAACATGTGCTTTATTTATCTGTTGGGCTTTTTCTAAATGCTACATTATGTGTTGTCAAAGCAATGTAGGTGTTCACTTCGTTTGATTGTGTTTTCTTATATTGAGTAATGATTAAACAGGAAAAGACATTGCTTATTTTAATTTTTAAAAAGGGTTATATAAGAAGATTTGCCCCCTCAAATCCCGTGATGTTTAAAAATGGCAAAGCAGTTTATGTGTTTATTGTATTTCTAACATTAAAAAGAGTGAACACTAATTATGGAGTGCCACAGAGCTCCATCCTGGATCCCCTACTTTTCAGTCTTTATATATTACTCAATGCAACATTTATGTGTTGTCAAAGCAGTGCAGATGTTGGATATGTTTTCTTAAATTGAGCACTGATTGACCTTTGAGCTCTCTTGGCCACTGAAGTGGGGACTCCCTGAGAGGAACTGCCCACTGGGGAGAGCACCTACTCTGAACTATGATGGATAATAATTTTCATGATGCACACACAACAAAAATGGGGGTTCTTAGAAATTAAAAAAATTTAGGTCCAAAAACGCCAAGGAAGACTGACGAGCTCGTACATCAGAAATTAGTATAACAGAAAATAAAGTAAAATAATTGTCTTGTGTGGCAAAACACACTGTGACTCGATCAGATTCTTTAACAGTCAATTCAGTATTATTTGTATTCCTTGATGCTGCATGTGTTGTAAAGTTAAGACGTCCTAAGTCCATCCCAAGTATCATATCAGGGCCAATCCTGGCATATATAACAGCACGTTAGTTATGAGAGTCACATTTTCCCAGTTCATTTCAGATCATGAATTTAATCATAAAACTTTCCATTTTTTTATCAGAATCTCCAGTATGTGGATCAAGTACCTCTGGAAAACAAGGTGTGCCAGATTAAGTAGACTCCAGCTATTATTTATTTTTGTCAGTTATATATTTAATGAACATTTAAGTAAATATAAGTGTCGGATGGCATTCGGATCAGAATTGGGGCTGAAAATAATTGGACATCCCTTTCTCCATTTTTCAGGTTGTTGCCAATTCTCTTAAATTCAGAAAAGGTTCAGATCAGTGAAGCTCTAGTGTAGCTCAACCCAAATAAGTGTTTTTAAAAAACACACACACACACACAAAAAGCAAAGTGGGTTACAGTGCTTGGGCAGTGGTTACAGTGCAGAAAAGACTAGTTAGTGCATGTGGTGATTAAATCATCTTTAACATTCACATAAAAACAACTTAATGTAAAAAAAAAATAATTTAAATCCAGTTTTGATTAGTGACATTCAAAGCGACCTTATTAAAGACAAACCAAAGGTTGTTACAGTGCACAAACAGAGGTTACAGTGTGGTGAATAAAGTACAACATGTGAACATTAATCAAAAGACAACAGGGTTTGTTAAACACATTAAACATTTTTATGGTGTTAATGATGCCTTAGTGTCAGCTTCAGGTCAGAAAATGGTTTGAAATGAAAGTCAAGTTTGTAGTTTAACGATTTAGCAAAAGAACACAAGTTAACATTTAGATGTCAAGCGACTTTGGCAATAACAACTGTGATCAGTCAAACTAATGGCTTCATTCCACATGACATACACTATGATGGTCATAGTGGACGTGACAAAATCTAAACTAGCTAACCGTTTGTTTTAAAGAATACTTCAACATCTTGGTGTTTAAGGGTGCTTTCAGATGTAGAGTTGTCTTGCTTTGGTCCGAATCAGGGACTAATTTTGTCACAAAGTTGCATAATTGCCTAGAGTTGGTTCGTGTTCTCACGGCAGCATTTACAAGAGGACCAGATCAAATGCCTTGTGTGAGAAAGCTGCTCTTGATTTGTCAGATTTTCCATGTGGGAAAAATCCAGGAAGTAAAGCAAACGTTGAAGAAGAGTACACTTGTAAGATAAATGTGACACTTTCTAATGTCACAATGGAGGGACAACTATGCAGGTTGATTTTAGCGCTGCTCATCGTGGACTATATTGCTGTCATTGTTCATTTTAGTCAAACCATACAGTTTGAAAACGAGGTGCGGCTCCAACTAGAAAACAATGTTTTGATACATTGGATGTGCTGAATGTGTATATTAAGGCAGTACAGGAGGAGGTGCACATTAATAATCCTCCAGGACTGTAACATGCTCATGTTTAACCCAAACAATGTGTCATGTGACTGCAGTTGGTTCGGATCAAGGTCAGAACACGTTCTCACCACAAACCAACCGCACCAGAGTTCATTTGTAACCGGACTGAGACCAGTTAATTTAATCAAATAACTTGTTTTTATTTCTGTTACAGTATTTTACTCTTAAGGCATTTAACATGTTAAAGTGTTGTCTCACCAGCAAAGATTTCATGTACTGTTTCTTTTTTATATCCTGTAAAATTTCAATTAATAGCCCGGGCTATTAATTAAAATTTTATAGTATATAAAGAATGTATTCTTCTTTTTTTAAATATCAGTTTACTTCTGTGATTTCTTTCTGTGCAGCTGAACTAGAAGGTGTACCTTTCCTCAGTGTATGTAGTCATGATGATGAGAGGCTTTTTAGTTTTACGACTCGCATCTTTAGATTTCGTCTGCTCCGTCTTTAAACTTTCCTCTGGAACAATCATCTCTGATTGCATGACTGTGACGGTCTCTGCCTTAATTAAAGCTTGTGATTGGCTGCTTACCCTGAAGGGGCTGTTGGGGACGCTGACTCCTCCCCAGGCGACAGACACGGTGTGTTTGAGAGGGGAGTTGGGCGTGTAGGAGCAGGAGTACATCCCGTCACCTTTACTCCTCACCTTCACGTCCACAGGAAGCCCCTCTGCGTCCTGACAGACGGACAGAGCGTTAAGCAGGTGGTCAAAGCTTCAAACAAATAAAACAAAAGTCCAAACATGCAGCTGTATACAACTGTTTGTTTGGAGGTTTGCAGATGAACCAATTCATCAGTTCATACACACAAAAAAAAAAAAAAAAAAAAAAAAAAGCATCAACAGATTAATCAATAATGAAAATAATAAAATACTTGCAGTGTAATAGTTGTTTTTATTACAAAAGTCTCTCACGGTCTTACTTGTATCAAACAAAAAGCTGTAAACACACACATGATAAATGATTGAGTATGAGAGAATCGTACCTGAGCCATGATTTTCAGAGGTCCGCTCCCAGCATTCTTAGCATTGACAGTGAATTCTGCAGGTTGGCTGACCAGGCAGCCAGTCTTCTCAAGACCAGGCCCGTAAGCCTGAACCTGCAACCACAAAACCAATTCTCACTATTACACACAACAGTTATTGATCAGACATTAACTTTTAATGGAAACTCAGAAAGCATTGACAAGGGAGCCAATCAGCGCCTGTTCGAAATAGCATACAGAAGCCTGGTTGAAAGCATTTTATCATTTAACATTACAGCATGGTACGGCAACCTGAGTGCAAGGAGCAAAGACAAGCTCTCAAAGACTGTCATTGCAGGGAAGGTGCAGGAAGGCCTCTTACCTGTAGAGCTATTTATCAGTCTAGATTGTTTTAGTGTGAGTTAAGGAGTGTTGGAGATGTGTGCTGTAGAGACATCTGCCTTCTCTCCAATATAACGGTTCTCAGAGCGCCAAAATAAATACATTTGAAAAACTCAACAGTAATGTCTCTTTTCAGAATCACGACCCCGTTACTCAAGATAATCCACAGACAATGTTGTGAAAAGCCTCATATAGGAACTACTTTCTTTCTACCGATACACCCGCCAACTGTATCACTGCACAGAAGGAAACGTGCATACTGGTAGCTCACCTAGCACCACCAAACTGGCTAATGTTACACCTCAGCTGCCATTAATGTTTTCATCTCACGCTGTCACAAGTGCGAACTTCTCGTCTATGAGTAGATGCAAGCTTCCTTCTGTGTGGTGATACAGTTGGCAGGTGAAGTTCGATGGGCCAATCACAATGCTATAGCACAACAGCACCCTGGCTTTGTCTCTTACTGACCTTATCTGGGTCACTGGCGTTGTTGTTGGGGACGATGGTAGCCATGAAAGGGCTGTGTTCAATGTCCTCTTCATCGCAGGTCACATGGACGGCATACTCTCCAGGCTCCGTTGGCAAGTAACAGACATCACATGATCCGTCGTTCTGGTCCTCGCACTCGATTTTAGCCTGAGAGGGTCCCTCGATGGCAAAACCTGAAAAAACAGCAGGTCAGATTAGACTGAATGTAAAGTGATGATGTTATCTCATCAATCTGATTCCAGTTTCAAATCCTTAGATCTAATCTGAATTATTTCCAGTCTCTTAACAAATCCTCAGCTTTCAACACTAGTAGTTAAGGGCAAAGAAGGAAGGGACCATTTTTAGGGGAAGCCTAATTAATCGTCACAACTAGAGGAGTGTCAGTGTAACACCATTCTAGTATCAGTGAAACTTTAACTGCAGTGTCGGATGATTGGAAAATATCAGCCTGAAACTCACCCAGCACTCCAACATCAGTGCCGATGGACTCCACTACAAAGGTGGCAGGTTTACCCACAACACCTCCCTCCAGGCCGGGACCCCAGGCCCTGATCTGCTGAGGCCCCGCCTCCCGACCCACCGTCACCTCGAATGGACTGAAAAAAGAGAGCGAAAGAGCAAAACTGTCAGAACGAGAAAATCACACAACCCACCGCTCTGATGTCGCAACATATGTATGAAAAAGTGTGTGTGTGTGTGTGTGTGTGTGTGTGCGCGCGCATGTGTATGGGGGTGGGAGGGTGGAGGGGGGTGGGGTTCGGGGGTAAGACAGCATGCTGCATGAGATCATCTGTGAAGCTGTCAACACACACACACATACACACATCAACAACCTCAGTGCCTCACGAGGTTGTAATCCAACCTTCAGCAGTTACTGGCTGCGAGTGTGTGTGTGTGTGTGTGTGTGTGTTGGAAACTAGCTTCACGCCAAATAAAACTGTCTGTTGGGATTTACTGTCTTCATTACACACAAACACACACACACACACACACACACACACAGAAACGTTATTTTTTTCCTTTAACTGTCAATTTTGTCTTTGATTTTTCAAAAGTTTTCCACCAGAATACTCCTCCTCTTCCTCTTCGAACTGCTATTGCTGCTTTGAGATTGACTGATATATCGTTCAGCCAATTAATCAATGTCGATAGGACATTTAACAAACTATCGTTATTGTCAGAACTTGGCTATGACAGTGGCCAATGGCTGTGCAGCCTCCACCAGTCACGCAGGGACGCACATCTTCAACCACAGCTGAAGAGGGGAGGGTGGTGTTAAATGATCAGTCGGTGCAGCTCCAGGTAAAAAGCTGCTCCCCTCTGCTGTGTGACTGAGTCAAGTGCCCTGTTCTTCATTTTAACATTTAGTCACATGAATTTTTCGGCTCCAATACAACAGTTGATGCAGGCCAAGAGTGATTGCCACCATTTTCTGTTTCAAATGAAAAGCCCTCCAGTGTTTTATACACAGTCCAACTATATACTAAGTTTGAAATAGTCATGTTTAAGGATAGAGAATGATATAATACAATGAAACCTTTAAGATGTTAACATCTGTATGGCCTATAAACGTCCATCTTTGTTTGATCAGTTCAGGCTTGTCACGGAACTGTATTTGTGCGGAGCGTCTTCCATGACGGACACAATATGGCGTTCCACATGGTCAGTAAGTCGGCATCGGTGCAGGCTGGCTGTTGGAGAGTTTTATAAATCGCTTCCACTAATTTGCGATGGCGCTCAATGTGGCGAATCCTTGTGTCAATGCAGGTGTTTTGTGAAAGGCCCTATGAGTCAGCTCCACCCTCTCATCCAAATATAGTCACCTTTAGTCTGATCAGATTGTTCATTTCTGACACTATTTTTTTCTTTTGGCTGGGGTTGATATCGGCCAGTAATTAGGCTCTCAACTTTTCATCAGCCTTTAAAAATCCTTTAACAGTCGACCTCTGCTGCTACTATTAAATATAACAATATCATTATCTTCAATTTACTGTAATTACCAGTATTGTCAGTACTAATTAAACACAGATTTATGTACTTATTTGGTCAAAAATATACTTTATGCAGTGACAGCGCTGATCTTCAGCAGGACCCGATGACATCTGCGCTGTAATTTAATTGTTGCAGTATCTATGTGAGAACACGTAACACTGTTTGTAATATCACTTCCCGTCCAACAGCCTGACGGGCATTTCAGAGTACACAGCTGTGCCGAGGTTTGAACCAGCTTAACCTCATCTGTTATTTCAGCCATCTGTAAGTTACTTCATGTCCTGATTCGAGTCATCTGTAACGTATGAAGTGCTGAGGTCACCGGTCTACCTGTGATATTTAACAGTCTGGACATTTAACATCACCACATCTGGACCCGTGAGAGAAACACTAGCAGGCTACAGGCTTAGATGCAGACAAACATCATCAACAACTGTTTTAAAAAAAATAAATAAAATGTCCAAAAAAGCTGCAGTATGATTATACCTTATATTTTCTTTCAGGTCAACTTTAAAAAATAATTAAGAGTAATCTTTGCAGACCTCCAGTTAACCTCTCACCTTGCTGCGGTGATGTAGAGGTGAGGACCCTGTGACATCATTGTTGGGTGTGGTTACAGGTGCAACAGAGCACATGTAGGACTACACTTCACCATATCTACAAATGACTGAGTTCACATGTGCACAAGTATCCACATTTTGATCAAATTTAGGATATGACATTTCCATTTAGCCGACAGGACATTTTACAAACTATCCTTATTGGCAGAACTTGGCTCGACAGTGGCCGATGGCTGTGCAGCCTCCACCAGCCATGCAGGGACGCAGGTCTCTGACCAGAACTGAAGAGAGGAGGGTGGTGTTAAATGATCAGTCAGTGCAGCTCCAGGTAAAAAGCTGCTCCCTTCTGCTGAGTGACTGTCTCTAAGTGTACTGCTCTTCATTTTAACATGTAGTCACATGTTTTTTTCGGCTCCAATACAACAGTGGATACAGGCCAAGAGTTCGTGACTGAGTGATGGACGCCATTTTCTGTTTCAAATTTCAAATTAAAAGCCTTCAAGTGTTTCATGCACAGTCCAACTATGTACTAAGTTTTGACCTAGTCATGTTTTTTATGTTTTATACATCAGAAAGTTTTTGTAGTGTTTTTAAAAGTACAAAATTACCACACTCAAAAAGACCTGTACCAGGATAAGCAGTTACCTGAATGAATGAACGAAAAAGTATCTTGTTTTAAATTACATTTCATTTTTTTTTTTTTTTTTTTTTACCAATTACAAAATATGCAAAAGTAATTGAAATACATATATTTCAGATACAAGTAACAGAAAAACTGTGCATCTCTGATCACAGTTCATTTTAAAAGCCCTTAAGCATGTTTTTATGTTTTATAAATCATTAAGAATGGTTTTGTAGTGTTTTTAAAAATACAAATGTGTGCAGTTTTGTCTTGATTTCTCATTATCTCAGTCACTAAGTTCTGTACCAACCAAGCAACAACCTCTGAGGCTGGGAGATGCAGCCTATGTGGTAGTGTCAAAAACTGCAGCTCCTTAAACGGCCACTTAAAGCTCGCTCCAAAACAGTCAGTCCCCACAGACCCCCATGTTAAAATGCCCAACTACCTGCGACCCCCCAACGGGATGAACAGTTACAGAAAAATGAATGAATCTGAACATTAAGTGCAACATAAATGGGTTGCACAGTGATTGTGCTTGACTAATGAATATGGTATGCAGTATCCTGGTTTCTATCTTCCGATAGCAGATCCAGGTTTCTCAAACCTGTGATAAGATCATATCCAGGTTTCTGAAAGCAAGATAAAAACCATAAAACTCTTTCCCTATCCGTCTCCCTTTCTTTCACGTGGAAGAGTGACAAAGTGTTTTCTGTGTTACCATAGCTGGATGAGCTGACAGTCGGCGCTGGATGAAGTAAAACAGAAACCTGCTCAAGGACGGCTTCTCAAACGGCTTCTTCAATGTGGGATCTGTCTGACCCTGCATGACCTGTGAGGACGCCTGCACAGGATTACGGCTGAACCACAAACAGGCACGCTACATGACGCTGCTGTTCTGTAAAATGTTTGGTTTAATCCAATTTAGTGTTTACAGGTATTTCCCTTACATGTACAACATCTGATCCATGTTGTGTTTGTTAAAGTCTGGCTACTCATCAGTGAGCCTCAGCGCCAAGAATTCCTTACATTTAGTTGGCGTCTCTTTCCATCTGGCTGGCTGATCAGAAACTCAGGGAACTCCCTGCACTTATACTGATACTAATACTCACACGCTCTGCTGTACAGAGGTGACAAAGAGAGCACAAGGCCCAGACTCAAAGTCCTCATTCCCTTGCGGATCCAACCATTCAGATCAGATGAGGTAATGTGCTGAGGTAATTATTTCTCTCACACTCACACACACACACATATATATAGTGTAACAGCTCACCTCTTGGGGATGTGCTGACCCCCCCAGGTGATGGACACGGTGTATTTGCCAGGACTGTTGGGATAATACTCGTAGGAGAACACACCATCCTTACTGGAGATCTGCTTCACCAGCTCATCGATGCCCTCTGAACACACACACACACACACACACACATATATATATATATATATAACAAAGTAATCTGACATTAAAATATTCCCTTTTTCCATCAGCCCTAGCAGGCGTCTTCACCTTCTCACAGTTTAAGTTCTTCTGTTTTTTTTAAAGGAGCAGTCTGTAACATTTAGGGGGATTCAGTGGCATCTGGCATTGAGGATTGGGGACTACAACCAGCTAAAACTTCTCCCAGTTGGAATTTGTGCAGCGTTTCTTGTTCAGGACGTCTTTATGCGAAGCCAAATTATCTACAGAGGTCTTTTTCTCTCCAAAAGAAACAGACCAGGTGATTAAAACCAGTAAAAATACCGAATAAAGTGGTTTCGTGTTACAATTCAGTGTTTCACCGACGCTGCTCGGCTGCTAGCCTAGGTTTTTACCGGGAGCTGAATTATCCGCAGAGGTGAGCAGAGGTGTCTTCCTTTTCAATACCCACAGACCAGTTGATTTAAACCAGTACTGACACTGAATAAAGTAGTTTCAGATTCCAAATCAGTGCTTTTCGAAGAGTGGCTGCTAACTACGGTGGACAACACAATGTCCTTATCTAGCGCCAGAGTTCAGTTTGTCAATTCTGGGCTACTGTAGAAGCATGGCAGAGCAACACTGCCATCTCCATAAACAAAAACCTGCTCCCTGTGTGGATATAAATGATTCATGAAATACAACGATTCTTATTTTTAGTTGAATATACACTAAAGAAAACATATATACTATATTATATTTCTGCCAGAAAATCCCCCTAAATCCTACAAGCTGGCTCTAGGGATGGTGATGTTAGTAGACTTTAACTTTGTCTCTGTATAAAGTCTCTACAGTGTGAACTGTACTCACTGGGTCCTTTGATGAGCACCTTCAGGTCTCCACTGCCGGCGTTTTTGGTGTCCACCTTGAAGTCACCGACCTGTTTCACCCTCATTCCTGACGGCTGGAGACCGCGACCCGTCGCCCTGCACGCCCCCGGCATGCAAGCTGCACAAACACAAATGTCGGAGTGATGTTGTTATGATGCATTCAAGTGGGATCATGATTATTATGTTTATGAGTCATAATTTACTGATGTGACTCACCAGGCCCCACGTCCACTTTGAAGGGGCTCTTGGGGATCACCGCCCCGCCAAAAAGGACACTGACAGTGTGCGGGCCGGCCTGGGTGGGCTTGTAGGTGCAGCGATACATGCTGTCGCCCTTATCCTCCATCATCACCTCCACAGTGTTCTGGCGGCCCTGAGGGTCTTTGATCATGGCCGTCACATCTCCTGTACCAGCTCCTACAGAGAAACTTTAACAAGTCAGTCTTCAAGGCATTTAGTTCACAGGTCCCAATTAAAGTTTCATTTGAACACTGTGCAGCTCTTTTCAGATTAAAAACTGATTTATTTCACATCCTTTATGCAAATTCTAACATTTTCTATTGGAAATTTATAGTTCATTTACAATTTTTGACTTTTGTGGTACTTGTTTATAACCAGCCGCCAGTGATTTGACCAGCTGAGTTGCAGGTGGCACCATCAGCCGGCTTGAGTCAAACCAGACCAGCCAGTTCACACCGCTGCAACTTTTCTCTGCAACTTTCTAAAAGGGTTTCGTCTTGGCGCAAATCTTCTGAACTGAGTGTAAGGAAACTGGTAGCAACTCCTGGGAACTCCAAAGCAGTGTTACAAGTTGCATTTCATTAGCTACCCTGATCACCCTAACAACTGGTGAGCCTGCATAAAGACATCACCTACTTTTGTTAAATGTTTGAGGTTGTGTGAACCCTGCAGTGTCACCAGGGCTGAAGTTAATAGTTTTAATGGTCAGTAAATCCCTGCAAACTGGAGGCTGAATGAGGCTTTAATGAAACTGGACTGAGTAACTGAAGGTATGTAACACAAAATGTCGTTAACTCCTTTTGCTGTGAAGAAATTAATAAAAAACTGTTTGTGTTGCCTTTCACACAACTACACTTCAGTTCACTCTTATTGGTGGTTTACAGCCTGTGACATCATATGCTGTCTCAGGACTGAGTGATGAGACCTTTTCACTGGACTAACAGTTAATTTGACCCGTAGATGTGTCTGTGTTTGTGTGAGTGTGAAACACCCTCAGCGGTCATTCGTGTCTCTGACCTGCAGTGAAGATGTCAAAGTAGGTGGGCTTGTTGGCGACTTTGCCCACAGGTTCAATTCCCGGGCCTTTGACTGTGACCTTGGAGGCGTCGCCCAGTGCCTTGTCCACATTCACCTCAAATGGACTTTTGGGAATCTGCTGGCCTGCAAACAAGACCGTCACCTAGGAAACACAGACAACAATTATCGATCGTCCCTGTCCCTTTCACTGATTAAATAATAAATAATATGAAACTTCCTTTTACAGAGTTTTTATTTCAAAAACAGTAATAAGTTGAAGTGGTGTGATTTTAAAAGTTTAAACTCTGAAATTGTAAGAATGACATTCATATTCCTCCCTGCACAGTGATAAAATAACGGCCTTTATCTTTGAAACCTGCTGTAAAAGTTTATTTTTCCATCAAACAAAAGTTAAAACTAAAGAGAATTTCACTGGATTTTAGGCTTCAAAGAAAAAATACATTCTGAGATTAATTTATGTAATTCTTTTATTTATTTTTACATGATTAAAAAAAGAAAACTGAAGTTTACCTTGTGAGGCCCCATGACTTGAGGAACATATGTGACACTGTACGTCTTCTTGCCCTCATTAGGCTCCACCTTCAACTGATTGACACACACAGAAAGATGTAAGTTTTCTTAAGGATGAGTCATTTGCCAGAATTTAACACAAAAACATAAACGACAGCAGGTTTTCCATTAAAATGGTGAGAGGACACCATGATCTTTCATGAAGATGACGAAGAAGGAAAGAAAGCATTAGTATGAGGAAGAGGAGGATGTGATGACGTACCTCCTCTCTGGTGCCGTCCGGATGATCCAGGTAGACGGTCACCTGACCCTGACCTGCACTAAACGTGTCCACTGTGAACACAGCAGGACGCAGCACCCTGTTCCCTGTCGGTTCAATACCTGCAGAAGAAGAAAATCAACACATACAGTCAGGTAAAAAACACTGTAATGTTGACTGAGTAAACATTTGTGATTGGTTACTGAAATGGATCGCTATAGAAAACACTTTAAAGAAACAACTGTCAGACAGTTTTGAAGTGTGAGTAAAAAAAACGAGCAATTTCAAGACGCCATCTTGGGCTCTCGGAAATGGTTTTGAGTATATTTCACCACTTTTTTTGTGAAAATTTTGATATACAAAACAACTAATCCATTAATCTGAATAAGAATCTGAGGATAAATTCATAAAAAGCTGCGGCCCAAACTTCAAAAATCAACACCAATACAGCTTGACTGAACTGAAGTTAGTCTGAAGATTTATCAGACGCCAAAACATCAAATTAATGGTTTATAACACCTAAAACAGGATTTTACAACTCTATGTTTGTGTGCGTGTGCATGTGCGTTTGAGTGTGTGCGTGTGTGTGTGTATGTGTGTGTGTGGTGTCCTTCTGTCTCTGTAACCATTTCCAGGTAATTTCCTCCTCAAGGTTACTGTGTGTGTGTGTGTGTGTCTCTGTGTGTCTCTGTGTGTGTGTGTGTGTGTGTGTGTGTCTGTGTGTGTATCAGATATAAGCATGGTCCTTTGTTCGGACAATCAGCTGCTCACTTCCTCACATTGTCAGACAGACCAGTGTTTCCAGTGTTCCCATTAGCTCAGACACACTGGCAGGAACAGGTTAATAACACCCAGATGGGTTTTTTTTTTAATTACTAAAAGGGATGGCTAGACCAAGAGTGTTTTCAAAGATTAATTAAAACCTCTGCAAATATCTGTGACTAATATCCAACCTGATGCTCACACTAAAATGAGAGTGTTGTGGTTTTAAGAAACAGAGTGTTTTGCCTTTTTTTAAACAAATAAATTAACAGGTAAGTTAAAATGGATAGTACTCTGCTGCTCCAGCTCCTCAGACAGAGTGCCCAGAGTGTTCCATTAACACTCTGAATTTACAAACGGTCCTGTTCGAGCCAAAGTGCACTCCAACACTAGGAGGGAATGTTTGCGAATGCACCCAAAATATAATCGAGTAAATCAAGTTTAAGAGTGTGTATGAGAGTGTGTGTGTGTGTGTGTGTGTGTGTGTGTGTGTGTGTGTGTGTGTGTGTGTGTACCTGGTCCATATGCTCGGGCCTTCTTGGGGTTGAGTTTGGGTTTGAGTGGAGCTCCTGGCTTCAGTTTGGCTTTGGGGAACTGAGACAGGTAGGTCATCACCGACTGTTCATCTGCTTTGGGATTAATGATCTCCTCTGGAGCCATAACCTGAATACACACAACACACACAACAGTTCAGGTTTGCCGTAAATAAATCTGTTTTATACTTTAATATCCCTGGAAGCAGATTTGAGCTGCCAGTGTGAACGTGGCTCTTCTGGTTTCAGGTTTTCCACCAGGTCTTGAACCAGGCTGCAGGGATTAGCCAGGTCCAACACTGATGTTAAACAATCTGGCTCTCAGTCAGTGCTCCAGGTCATTCAGAAGGTGCCGGATGGGGCTAAGGTCAGCACGCAGTGCAGACCAGTCAAATTCATTCACACCAGTCTTGACAAAACATTTCTTTATGGTGCTTATTTATTAAGCACAGGCATTGTCATGTTAAAATAGGGGAGGACCTCCAATAAACTGTTGCCACAAACTTGGAAGAATGCTGTCATCTAAAATATAATTGTATGCTGTTGCATTAAGACTTCCCTTCACTGGAACAAAGGAGTCCAAACCCGGAAAAAAAGACGTGAACAGGGGTGTCCTGAACTCTGTGTCACACCGGAGTCGTTAACAGTCACCACTATTTTCTTTTGTCTGGTGGAATGAACTTTTTCAGCAAACATTGATGGCCTAAATTAACATCATGGGGTGTGACGGTGATGTCAGTTATGTTTTTTCTGGAGGAGACTTCCTATGGGTGTCAGCTGATTGACAGAAAGCAGAGCATCACGTAATGCAGCTATGACACAAAAATATTGAACTCAGATTTCAAGGGTTTCTCCATAATGACTTCTTAATGAACAAAAAAGATAAAAGGAAAAAATGCTCCACTATCTGCGAAGAAACTTTTCACATTCGAAAAAAGCCCCTCTAACTACTGATTCAGAAGGGACAAATACTCGGGCTTATTATTTTCCAGGGAACAATTATTTGTCACACAAGTCCTCATAGTACATTTCCGTTTCAGCTCAAGTTGCATCCTCTTGGCTTCAAACAGAAGTGTGTAAAAACACACACTCAGGTTCAGTGAGTTTCCTCTGCAATCAGGAAACCAAACAGTATCTGTGTGAGATGCTGCCGGTAACCTTTGACCTCTGGAGGAAAAATCACAGCACAGCCAATTCTGTTCTCTGTTAGGCTGCACGATACAGAGGAATAAAATACAGGAAGTGTGATGTTTGTCTGATAATGGCTTGTTAGCGTAGTTAGCAGTCCGGGCGTCAATAAACGCTTAGTGTCTGCATCATCCCTGCAGCTGCTTCACAGTAAAAGCCCCCAGAGAAGCCTCCGTCCTTTGCATTCATCAGTCATACGTACAGTATGGATGTAAAAGTGTAAAAGAGTATTTAGTTCATTCCAGCTGACATGATCCTACTGGATGTACTCAACTGTCCCAAAATGCACTGTGGCTCTTCAGACTGTCCAGTGGTGGACTGTGAGGCAGATGGTTCTGGTTCCAGCCAACAACAGAGCCATATGAATGTGAAAAAAAAATATTTAACTCTAAAATATTTTTAAAAAATTAAGTGTCAGAGGGACTCTAACCTGCGGGATGCCCAGCCAGTCATCAGCCAGCGTCATGGCTTCAGTGGCATTCTCCACTTTTTTGTCTGCATCCCAGGTCTCCCAGTCTGGACACAGGCCTGCAAACAAACAACAACACTGTCAACCACAGAAACTTGTAGACACACAACAGTGAGAGCTCTCCTGGGGAATGATAAAACTACAACCCCAGTCCCAAAACAGTTGGAATGCTGTGTAAAATGTAAATAAAAACAGAATGCAATTATTTTCAAATCTTTTTTTGACCTATATTCAATTGAATACAGTACAGAGACAAGATATTTGATGTTTAAACAGATAATCTTTATTGCTTTTTGTTGGGTAAATATACACTTTTTCTGAATTTGATGTCTGCAACACGTTCCAGAAAAGCTGGGAAAGGGGCAACAGGAGACTGGGAAAGTTTTGGACAGCTCCAAAAACACCAGAATAGAACGATCCACAGGTAAACAGGTAGCCTGGAAATCCAGACCCAAATCTAGAAAGATTTAGGGTCTGGCTATGAGTAATGCAAATGGCTCAACTTGAGGGGCGGCACCAAGCATGCATCTGAAAATATCACTGCACGCAATTGGATAACACTTCGACCAATCAGAACAATACACGGGGTGACGTATCCAGAGCGCTACCAGCGGAGCTAACTGGTAGATTAGACTCTTTCCGTATCCGGTTGGCAAAACAGCAAAAACGTCCTTCTTGCAAAGGAAAGACTCGAGCGCCGTCTTCTGTTCCTCTTTTAGAGAAAAAGCCAAGTCTAACTCGTTCATTGTAGCGGCCAAAGCTGTTTTAAACAACTGGTGTTCATCCGTAGCCATCTTGCAATGTTTACTGACTGATTCCGGATTCGTCGTCGCAGCGCTGTCGTCATCTGTTTAGCTCGCCTCTGGCCCGGCTATATCAGATACACCGATGTGATTGGTGCAGCTCGGCTCCAACGGCATGGATAATGAGCATCATTACTGATTACTGATTGACTCGCTGAGCAAATTCAAATTGTGCACTTGCGAGAACTCTGGATTTCCAGGGTAGTAAACAGGTTCATTGTTAACAAATTCAAATATCATGATTGTGTTTAAAAAGGGCATCTTCAAAAAGCTCAGTTGTCACAATCAAGGACAGTCATTTTGTGAAAACTGTGGGCAAACAGGTTAAGAAGGTTTCTTGAAGCACAAGTGCAACAAATTTAGGATTTCTCTAATCTATAATCCATGACATACAGTAATCAGAAGATTCAGAGAATGGGGCGTCGGTGGCTTAGTGGCAGAGCAGGCGCCCCATGTACAAGGCTGTTGCCACAGCGGCCCTGGTTCGACTCCAGCCTGTGGCCCTTTGCTGCATGTCACTCCCTCTCTCTCTCCCCTTTCACACTTGTCTGTTCTATCAATTAAAGGCTAAAAATGCCCCAAAAAATATCTTAAAAGATTCAGAGAATCTGGAGAAATCTCTGCACATTAGGGCCAAGACTGAAAACCAGCACTGAATGGCTGTGATCTTTGACCCTTCAGAATGCACTGTCTGAAGGATATTACTACAGTTCGTCACTGCATCTATAAATGTAAGTTAGGACTCCACCACGCAAAGTGAAAGCCATAAATCAGCAAAATTCACAAACACCACCAATTCTCTGAGCCCAAGCTCAGCTCAGTGGAAAAGTGTGCTGTGGTCGGATGAGCTCACATTTCAGATTGTTTTTGAAAATCATGGATGTTGTGTCCTCTGGGCTGAATCAAATCAAGTATATTTATATAGCACATTTAAAAACAACCACAATTGACCAAAGTGCTGTATAATAGGCTATATAGAAATATAAAATTTACACAAATGTAAAACAGGAGAACCACGGTAAACAGTTACAAGGGCGTGGCTTTGTAGTAAAGAGTGCCGGTACTAGACTGACCTGCCTTAAGTCCTAAACTGACTCCTATTAAACATTATGAAGTATAAAATACAGCAACAGAGACCCTGGACTGTTGAGCTACTGAAGTTGTACATTGGGCAACAATAGAAAGAATTTCACTTTCAAAGAATCAACAATTAGTGTCCTCAGACACCACCAAACACTCACTGAGCGTTGAAAAGAAAAGTTGATGTAACACAGTGGTAAACATACTCCTGTCACAACTTTCTTGAAATGTGCTGCAGACATCATCAAATGTACAATAAGTGTATATTTATAACAAAGCAATAAAGTTTATCAGTTTAAATATGAAATATCTTTTCTTTGGACTGTATTCAGTTGATTGTACGTTGGATAAGATTTGCAAATTATTGCATTCTGTTTTTATTCACATTTTACACAACATCCCAACTCTTTTGGAACTGGGGTTTTATTTCAATATTGTTTTATGGATTGACTCGATTTAACATGACAGTGGCTACGGTTACATGATAGCTTCTCATTCGGAATGAAATAAATCTGAATGAAATCATTCGGAATTAAAGTCTTTCCAGGTAGTTTACATGGGAAATATTCATTCTGAATGAGGGTTTACACGGGAGATCAGTTCAATTGCCTTTATTCTGGTCTGCGCAAGGTTTGGGGCAGGGAAGGTTTCTGATTGGATAGGGGCGGGGCAGATGTTACGTGTTTACGTTTACCGGAAGAAAACACTGTATAGTCCTCGCTCCGGATAACAAGATGCTTGACGACTCCGTTCTTAGTGCGTTTTTTGGGCTTGTTTTGCTTATATTCTTGAAGCAGCAGTACGACAACAACCTTGTTCTGCTAATGCTTCATCTGTTGAGGAGGAGAAGGGAGGTAGAAGGTCGAAGAAGGGAGATAGAAGACCGTGCTTTGGCGAATGGAAACCGGTGAGTGCAACAAGTCCAACTGCTCTATCTCAGCCTGTTGCTATGCAGCCCGTTGCTATGCGCGCTATATACGTCATCGCGCCAGAAGGGCAAGGAAACGAGCATGCACAGAAAGACCGGAATGAATTTAAAGAGGAATGAGTGTTTACATGCACACAAAATTCTTTCATTCGGAATGACAAACAGAATAAACCACCCCCTTTAATCGGATTTAATTTTCAATTGGAATGACCGTTTTTCAATCGGAATGACCATTTACATGACCACTTTTAATCGGAATGGCCTTTCATTCCGATTAAAAGTGGAATTAAACTGTGCATGTAAATGTACTGAATAATGAACTCTGTACCCACATACACCCTTAAAACAAACACACACACGGAGCATACCTGGTGCACAGCTGTCTACCAGTGCTCCCAGTGCCTTGCCATCCTGCCAGTCCTGGCTGAAGTTGGTGATTGGCAGATCAGGGACTTTGTTTTGGATCCAGCCCAGCAGACGCTGCTTAGGTGTCTTTGACTCGACCTGAACAAACAAGCACAAACATACATCAGTCGGCTCTCTAACAGTGGTTTGTATTTGTGCAGTAACTATTATTTGTCTCTTTAATTCTCAGGTTTTTATCACTTAATGTCTGATTCTGTCCTGCAGACAAACACAGATTTGGCTCATTTGCAGAGGAACAGAAGTCATGAGATAAACATAAGTTAATACAATCTGGAGCTGGATTGTTACCTCATCTCCATCTTCACCCTCCCAGACTGGCATGGAGATGGAGTAGTGCAGAATAAGAGTCCAGATCAGACCCAGGATCAGCTTCAGGTTCCCATCAACGATGGCTTTAGAGTCTGGAGGAGAGAAACAGACCTGAGGTCAGATTCATGTTGTTTTTACCCTGCAACCTTTACTGATTGATGTGTCTCCTGTGTCACTGTATATTAACTTCTACTTTTATAATGAACGTACCAACAACTACTCCACCAATTCCCAAAGTAGAACTTGAGAGCCCAACTACAGTAATCTGTGACTGATAACTTTGACGATGATAGAACCCAACATGATGTACACGTAAAGTTTCACTGAGAAAAAAATTAAGGAAAAGAAGGTTGAAAAACACATTCTATCTTTTCAGACTTTAACTGAACTAAATGAAATTTAACATGACTCCTCAAGATGAAGGGGGACGAGGGAAAATGGTGCAACACTGAGGCCCAGTCCTGCTTGTGACTTACTGTGAATATCAACACTTTACCTACTTCTAGCAGAGCAGAACAGAGTGCTGCAGGGTAATGTTACTGATTAATCAGACCTCACTGTACCAGCTGGTACCTCACACCAGCTAAAGCACACACACATACACGAGGCAATACTAGCTAATCTTTGGCTGCAGCACACCGAGTTCAGAGAGACGCAGACAAAACATTCCACTCATTTTTAATCTCTCCATCCACATTTCTCTCTCACATAATAAAAAGTTATTCATTACTAGGAAAAAAAGAGAAACTCGTTTGCTAATTCATCGTCTCACATCTGTAGTTTCAAAAATGGTGGAGACACAAGGGTGGATTGAGATATGCCAAGGACACAGTTAAATCAGGAGACTATGACTAGATTATTTTTTCTGACTGCAAAATAAAAAATACAGAGCATTAATATTCAGCATGAGCTCTGAATAAGTTGTCAGATGGTTTAATAGAATAGGAATTGTCATTACGAGCAGTAGAGGTGATGTTGAGTGACTCTACTCCTGTCCAAGCTTTGTGGTGATAAGTCAAAATGTTGGTAAGGATATTTTTGCATCTGTATTCCCACCATCCAAGAGCAAATCTAAAAGTGTATCTCACAGGAAGTTAAATGAAGACGATCAATCAATCAATAAGTTTATTTCTGTGTCTGGTACAGAGGTCAAGACCGACTGTAGCTGAGCACAAAGACTGGAAGCAGAGAGAAGCTGCTGGCCGAGCTCCATCAAAACACACGGCAGGAAATGGTTGGTGGATGTGGTGAGCATGAAGTGTGCAGCAAGCGGGCAACCCATCGGGAGTGACTTGGGGTTCAGCGTCATGCTCGAGGATGTTTCCAGTGTTGTGCACGTTCACACTTGCACACACGCTCACAAATGCCAGCTCATAGTTAAGTTCACACACATCAAATAAATTACTTCAGTCCCAAAAAAATAACTAGCTTGAAATGTGCATGTCTTCAGTTTTTGTTTTTTATAATGAAATAAAATCTCGTGATCATCACTTGCAGATATTTCCTAACACCGGCCAGATACAACTCAAATTCGATGTTGATGTGGTCAACATTCAAACTTGCTTTTTTTTCAGATCCAACAGGCACAATAAATGCAAGACTTTTTCCGGTGAAATCTGTAATTTTTTTGATTTGTTCAACAAGTCCTTTAAATATCTATATGAACTGGCTTCAGCAGTACCAGGTAGCTGCGTTGACTGCTGGTGCATACCCGGTGCTATAAAATGAGCATTGTGAATTGTCGCAAGAGTGAACCAAGCTCATGTTCAAGTTCATAAGTTGCAAACAGATGCATTAGGTTTACTGTTCACCAAAATATGAGCATGTTCAATGAACGCGCTTTTTCAGCACATTCACGCTGGACACTTGTGGACATGTGGACAAAAGGAGGGATCGAACAGCCAACCTGTAATTAGAGGACAACCAGCTCTACCTGCTAATGACAAATACATGTCAGTCCAGCATTTCCTTCAGCGTAGGAATATTGCAGATGACTTGAAGCAGGAGAGGGGCGGGTCACACACACACACACACACACACACACGCTAGAGCTTCAGGAGTGCAGACAACGTTATTTGCTAAAATCGGTTTTTGATGTTTGTATTGATTTCTTTCAGAATTTTGTAGAGTTTGAGTCTGAGCTGTGATTTTAAACCAATATGCTGTAGCTGCATCTCTGACTTTTACTTTTACACCTTTATTTTCCCCACTCATTGCAACACATGCTGCTCGGATTACTTTCTGCCATGTGAACACACAATGTGATCAATCAGTCACTCAAACACAGATCCTGAAATATTAAAACAGTCACCTCAGTCATTCAATATGTGGCTTTTGCAGTGCAGTGTAGCACCTCTGCTTGTTTTCCCTCAAGCATAACAATCCTAATTTTATATCTCATAAAACTTGTTCTGATGTCAGCAGGGCTGGGCTCCTCCATTACAAAATGCTGCCTTGCATTGTGCTGTTTCTGTGTATTTAACACATGTAGAAATAAACAACACCATCTACATGGCCAGCACACACCTCACTGTCTCTTTCACTAGATTTACAGTTCTATACCAGCGCTCATCAGTAAACAATACCACTCTAGAGCCTTCACGCCTTCATAGTTACCAAATATGTTTGTCTCTGCTGGATTATGCAACTGCAGGCTGGCTTTCGACACTGCGTGCATGTGTGTACATGTGTGTATTGAGTGCGTTTGTGTGTGATAAATCTTATGATCCACCTGGTGAATCTGCTTCACTGTCAGCAGACCAGCTGTGGTCCAAACATGTTTCAGCAACTCAGGTTTAAGTGGAGCTCTGGGAGACTGCTGCCTCACCCATGGGTGACACAACATTGTTAATGACTGCGGATATTCAACATACACATGCACATACACACACAGGGGAGAGGTTGCGACATGCTGCTTTCTACATTCCCAATCTCTCTTTTCCCAGACTCAACACACTCATTTATCTTTTTGTATTTCTGTCTTTCTTTGACTGTTTGTACTTTTTCTCCTCCTCTGACACTTCCACTGTCTCCACTTGTTTTTTTACGTCTCATTTCTCTTTCTCCCTGTCCCTCTAAGGTTGACCTGCCACACCTGTGTGTGTGTGTGTGTGTGTGTGTGTGTGAGTGAGTGTGTGAGTGTGTCACTACCAGCCGCCTCTCCAGCAAACATCCTGTCAGTGAGTAGCACCAGTCAGCGGCCTTTACCCTCCAAACACACACTCACAGAGCTCCACCCATGGCTGAGCTCACCCACTCAGCTTAACTTATCAGTCACACCAAATGGGACACTTTCTTTACAGAAACCAGGTGATGAACTAACAACCTGTTTAAGTTAGATGTGCTTGTTGCATGAGAAAGAGATTAATATCAGTATAATTATTTTTCCTTTTAATCTCTGAATGCAAGTTTCTGAAAATTACGTAGTTGGTTTAAACACAGTATTTCCTCACTTCCCCCAAGTTCAGTGATTTATAACCTTTTTGGCTTGTGGCCTATTAAACCGAAGCCATTTCTATTTTTGACCCATTGTTAACAGTTACATAAGTCTATGGGTTATGACCAGGTCAAGCAATGACTGTTTTTCCACTGTTTTAATGAATAGAGAGGGAAAAATGCAAAGATCAGGGTGGCAGTCCCCAACCTCAGATTTTTCATGGGACCCCTGTCCTGACCCTGAGGGACCTCCAGCAGGGCTGTCATTTTTTTAAAAGTTATCTATAGTCATTTTTTAATCTGAACACAACCAACACAGCTTAACTACAATTTGGTTTGGTATGCATGTTTTTTATTCTGCTTTCCTGTTCTGTTAATGGTTCGTGACGCCTCAGATTTATTTTGGGACCCCTTATAGCAGTGGTTTCCAACTGGTCCTGCCTCTGGGCCCAGATTTCACCTGAAGGTGCTTTCACACCTGCCCTGTTTGGTTCAGTTCAATCAAACTCAATTTCATTTGCCCCCTAAGTGCGGTTCTTTTGGGCAGGTGTGAACACAGCAATTGCACTCCGGTGTGCACCAAAAGAACCGGGCTGAGACCTTCTTGAAGAGGTGGTCTTGGTCTGGTTACAAACAAACTCTGGTGCGGTTCGTTTGTGGTAAAAGCATATTCATGTTCTCACGCAAGGCATTTTATCTGGTCTGCTTGTAAATGCTGCTGTGAGAACACGAACCAACTCTAAGCAATTATACAACTTTGCAAAAAAATTAACCCTGATTCAGACCAAAGCAAGACAACTCGAGGTCTGGAAGCACCCTTAGACATTAGTTAAAGGTCCACACAGTTATATATTCAGCATCATACTTGCGTTTGAAATCATCAAGCTAATTTGCTGACTCCATCAATTAGCTGTCCATTAGTCACTCACTCTACAGCAGGAAACAGCACTTCAAAATTAAAGTGCTGTACCGGAAATTCATTGTATGTTTTTTCAAACTTCACACATTTGCGATTCACTTGCAGTCCATTCAGAATGGACTCGCGACCCACTTTTGGACTGTGACCCACCAGTTGGGAACCACTGCCATGTCAGGTCATGACACCACTGCTTTCCTGCCATTGAACCATGTTGTGGTTTTATTTGCCCATGTTTTTATATCTGTTCATATCTAAATCTGTGTAGGTGTTTGTGTGTAGTGTGGGTGAAATAATACTGTTTAACATTTTAAAAGTTACTGTTTAAACTTAAATTACTATTTTTTGCCTTTGAACTTAATTTCATTAAAACACAACAGATCATCAGACTGGGAACTAACCACTCTGTGTGAGTGGGTGTGTGTGTGTGTCCTTGCCGACACAGTTTTGTGAGTAACGAGGCTATCGCCATGGTAGCCTATTGTTCACATAAAGGACAAGAGTAAGGGAGAGACAAAGAGGGGGAGGGAGGAGGAAGAGTGTTAGAAAAAAATATAAATGCAGCGAGTCAAAACACTGATAGATGAAGAGCAAAACAACAAAAACACACCAAAGTATTCCTCAGATTTGAGCTCTCAGGTTAGGTGTGTGTGTTAGAGGGTTTAAACAGCTCCAATACTCTGCTGCATTGTTTCCAGCTGCTCAAAGCCTGATCTCTCCTTCCTCTCTGAGTACCTCATC